CGGCTACACCGACGCCGCAGTCCAAGACGCCATTCGCCAGAAACTGTACAGTCGTGGCAACGGTAACGGTGAGGCCCTCAACCAGGCGAATGCCGGCTGGGCAAAGGTTTGGCGTGCCGCTTGCTGGTCTCGCCTTAACGAAACGGATGAAGCGTATTATGAACTTAGATATGCGATTGAACAGAACTTTGCAGGTAATGGGTTGAGTATGTATGATGGGGACAGGATGCCGTTTCAGATTGATGCGAACTTTGGGTTTGGAGGCGCGGTGTTGAGTATGCTCGTTGCGGATATGCCGCTGGCTGCAGGCGTCACGGGGAACAGGACTGTGGTGTTGGGACCTGCGATACCGAAGAGTTGGGGCGGAGGCAGCGTGAGAGGGTTGAGGTTGAGAGGTGGTGGGGTTGTGGACTTTGCGTGGGATGAGGACGGCGTGGTTGGGGAGGTGAAGGCCGAGGGGCAGTCTGAGGGCTTGACTCTTGTAAACAAGAACGGAAAGTTACTCATCGGGTAGGCTGAGGGGTATTGGAAGGGAATGAGTATTTGAACATCCGCGGACTTTTCGAAGATGTCATCCAAGCAAACATGACATGACGATGCGCATAACGAGACTATATTGACAATTTCGCGCGGCGTAGGCCGCGAGCTCACAGGAATCCTGGAGAATCAAGGTGTCAGGCTAGCGCGCCCCTACTCTCGCGCCCACATCCCGAGGTTCACGCGAAGGCGGACGCGTCCTATAATTCTTTACTCGGCGCCCAATCCCGAACTCAGACCTTGACGCCACGCCCGCCGCAGCAAAGTATCCCGTATCTGGGTCACCCATCGATTCGTCGCCCCATTCTCAGCGCTAGGTATCGGACAATCGCACATGGCGCGGCCTGAGGACGATGCGACAGACGATGAGGCCCTACGAGGGAGAGACTAGTGTGACGACGGAGGATGCTGTCAACGATCCGGCGAAGCTCTAAGGATATTCCGACCACCTGGAGTCGCGCAATCCTTCCATCCTCTCTTTCGTTGGCACAATCATCTGCTTTAGATGAGAGTGATAACCCTGTCTTCTGCAAGATTATGGGCGTCAAGAATCCAGTGAACTGCTGGATAGTTGTAGAAGGTAAAAAGGCCTGCTCTCTCGAAGGTAATGTTGTCATGTGTTTGGACAAACAGGGCTTCAGCACAGTCCTGGCTGGACCGATGTTTTGATGTCGGTACATTCGCCACATCGCCGTTCTTATGAGTCCGCCAATCCAGATCAGCATGCGCTTCGTCTAGACAGTACTGTATAAGCAACACGTAGCCATAGTGCATGCTCCTAATCTCTCCCCAAGGCTTGTCTATGAATGAATTGAAGTCTGGCCATGAGATTCCAGTAAGCGTTCCAGGCTCCGGTGCATATCGTGAGCCGTTTTCGTTTCGGAGTCGGAGACTTGCAGATGTAGAGTTGCCATGGTTGTACACCGCATACAACAATCTGCACTTGATCCTCATGCTGGCATGTTCCAATTCACCTGATTTTTTAGACCTGACATCCAGGTTAACGACCGCGCCTGTAATGTGGCGACTAGAGTGGTGACCATGATTCCTAGTCAAAGAACTGTGAACAATCTCGTCATTGCTGAAAGCCCAGCTCCAGGTGGGCGCTCTCCACATCTCAGTCTCGGGACTGTGCCCTCTTTTGCTCCAACAAAGCTCTTCCACAATACGACCTCGCCAAAGACCCGCGACCATTTCATCGCCTATCGCTCGACCAATCCAATTTCCGATGCCTCGGATAGCGAAAAGCTTGTCGCTAGGATTTGTAAGCGCGCATCTTGAGTAAAGGTCTCTAAAAGCGAGCCATTCGATGTAGATGTTTCTGTGGTACGAGTCCAGTTTCGTGTAAGCGGTTAAGCCCATTTCCGAGCAGGTCCGTTCTTGTTCCGCGATGGAGCGCATGCATCTCTTCAGTCTATTACCGTCTTCCATCCAGTAACCTTGCGCCCATACAGGGAGTCCTTCGCGATAGGTCTCGCATGCTGTCATCTCACGGCACTCCCAGAATAGCTGTCCGCTGGTAAAGTGTATGAGTCGGGTGGAAAGCTGCCTTTCTTGGCTCACCCAAGCTCTTTTGTTCAGTGGCGCCTCCTCAATGTATCTCTGAGCCATCTGTCCAACATCGCACAAAAACGTTCCGCGTCTTGCCTTCGACCCGGGTAGGTTTTGAGTCCAGTCGAATTGAATCACTTGCGGCAAAATTGACTCCGGAATTCTCTCAAAGAATAAGCCACCATTGCTATCTTTCGAAGCAGTCGCTGCAATCGTACAAAACGAGTTCGCATATATATCTCCCATACGTTGGGACTCATATGCCCAGTCGTCTTTGTCGTCTTGAAGGATGCACCTTTAGTAGTCAATATACATATCTTATTATGGGTAGTAACAGCGTACAGCGAATCGATCCAGATATATCGTACTTGCAGAAGCCTGGTCACGAAAACAGCGTCCTGGAACGTCTTCGGTAGAGTTTCGATATCGACGCCAGCTATCAATGCCGCATGCGTCTGTGAGTTGAGATTCAATGGTTTGACTGTCCCCCAACAGTGCGAGAGACAGACGTATCTCTCTTCAAGAAAAGATGCAGTGTCACAGAGTAGGACTGCATTGTGCTGCTTCGTTCCAACATTCAAGAGTCTCGAAGGATAAACAGACGACCTGACTTGCTGCGGGCTCTGACATCGCGTATGCGTTTTGCAGCATTGGTGGAACTTGCTAGAAACGAAATCGAGGGACGAGTTTGACCGGGTACTTGACGAAAATGATTGTGGGATATGGAACTTGGTCGGAGCAATAGGTCTTTTAGTAACATAAGAGTACTGCGGAAGCTTGACTTACTAGGGCATGGCCAAGGTACAAAGATCAACGACCAACCCCACCAGGCGTTTTTGCCTTCCACTATAATACACATAGACAGAGTGAATTGGTCTTCATTACCGTTAGAACCAAAGTAAGCCTTCATCGGTCTTTCCCAGTTGAATGCGGGAGGCGGCTCGAGAGCATCGCACCCTGCCAAGCTGCAGATAGAACATGGAAGCTTGATCGCCTTGTCGAAGGATTCGAAGCTGCGGTGGTGGTCGAATATAAACAATTTGGGGCTTCTATACTTCCCGTCAATCTTTCCTTGCAGAAATTGTTGACACAGCGCGCAATAAAGGGCGTCCGGCATGGCGCGTCCTTTCGTGAAAGAAGAGGGCTGATATGTTTCATTCAGAGATGGGCGCAGATGGAAAGATGCAGTTACACAAGAAGATTCCCCGCATGACATCATAGCAAATGTCAAGTTGGCAAGCGCAGTCGGGTCAATGGGTCGCACGCGTGATGCGACTGTGCCACATGTCGTCTCGTCTCATTGGCCAAACGTCTTTTGGTCGATAAAGAAAGGCCGCCGGGCCCCGCGAAAGCAGCCAAGACTACGGTGCTTCTTTTCGTCCATGTGACCAAAGAAGCGAGCGCATCTACTTCCCATGTGCATGATAGTATCTGCCGCCGTCCCATCAGCGTCGCTGAAGGAACAACGATGGAATCGGATAAAGTGCTGTGCTTGGGCAGGCTGACCACGCGCAAGCTTTCGACCTGTCTTGGGCGTGCTTTGGAGAACTCAAGAAAGACTCTCGCTTGTCTCGGTAGCATTGTGTTCACGGCACACCGTGGAAAGCGGAAAACGAGTGAGCCGCAGGACGTTGCGAAAGGAACCCGAGTACCTTATCGCATAGTCGGAGTGCGCATTTTGGCAATGAGAAGGCGATCTTGGAGGGAGGATGAGTGATATCTCTGTCAAGAAGTGTCCGTATATCCCGGTCGCATGCGCCATCCTCCGCACTACTCCCTCCGTACCTCCTACCTTAGTAGTAGCGCCTAGTTAAGAGGAACCCTAAAGGACAAATTAACACTTATTTAATAGTTTTAATTAATAACTAATACTATACTATTACTAATATTCTTTTACTTATTTTTAGTATAATATATACTATTTACTTATTTTTACTTATAACTTAAGTATACTAATATAGTACTTTAGTAATTTAAGCTTTATTTTTATCTCTAAATAGTTTCTTTATAAAGTTTATATCTTTCTTACTTATAACTTTTTTTATACTTTATTTTTATTAAAACTTAGTAAAAGTATTAACTTAATACTTAATAACTTTTTTTAATATACTTTTTTTATTATTACTTTAGTAAAAGTAAAAAACTTATTTAAAAATAAGCTAGCTAGTTTATAAAATAATATAAGCTTTTTTAATATTAACTTAAGCTATAACTTTATTAGTACTTATACTTTATTTAATACTAGTAATATTTTTAGTAAACTTTTAAGCTAAGTTACTACTAATATTATAGCTATAAAGCTTTTTAATTTTATTTTATAGCTATAAAAAGAGTATTTTATTATTAAGAAAAAAAGTAGAAGTAAATAAGTTAGAGTTATTAAGAATTTAACTTAGAAGAAAAGTTTTATAGCTATTAAAGTATATAAATATTTATTTAGTTAGTAATATATAGTAGTAGTAAAAATAAAAATAAAAAAGTACTTACTAATATAGTAAGTAAAGTAAGTATTAAAAAATAGAAAAATATTCTTAAAAAGCTTTTATATTATACTTAGTATATATAGTACTATTAGAAGTATTTTAGTACTAACTTTTTATATATAAAAGTTTTAATAAATACTTATAAATAAGTATTACGTTAATAGTATATAGTACTAAAGTATCTTTTTAGTAAAAAATTAAAAATATTAAAATATTAGCTAAGAGCTTAGTACACTAAGCTTTATAAAATTTACTATTTAATTATAAGTAAGCTATAGAAGCTTTATACCTTATACTTATTCTTATATATATATACTGTTGCTTGCAACACAAACTTAATAAATTTAAAATATGTACCTTCTACCTTCTCTTAACCGTAATAGCATGCTTTGAATTAGCTACTCTCTGCTTACTATTATGTTTATAAACCTACGAAACGCGCACAATCTGACAAGTCTTGACCGGCTGCAGTTCAATCTGCGAAGAAGCATCATTACCGTCGACCAATTCCGAGAAAGTCGCTGTCGGGTCGTCATGCCTCCTGCTCCCTTTCTTCGATAAGAGACTAGTCTTCTTGCTGCTTTCGTAGTCGAGATTGGATCGCATGGCCTGGTTTGACTTCCCGAACAAGGGGCGCATGAGTGGGATGCATGCCAGGACGATTGCGACGGCGGGCTCGAGGCCGGAGAGGATTGTGGCGAGCACACCGGTGTATGTCATGTCGAAGAAGTCGAGACCCGGTAGCAGCGTTTGGCGGTATATGGTGATGGCCCAGGTACTACGCGACTGGTCAGCATATGGATTGAGGAAGGCGAATGGGATCTTGGTATGCACTCACCCTACTCCAATGCTGAGGAGCGCCATCGCAGCCAACTTCCTCCGCCACGCCATGCGCAACTTGTACAAGTATGGCATTGGCAAGAAGATCATCACGGCGTCTGTAATGAGGTTGATGACACCCATCGCGAAGTGGAAGGTCGGTTGACCGCCACACGTTCCGGGCAGTGAGAAGTTCCAGTTCTTTGCAAGTGGCCGGCATATTGCGAGAGCAGGAATGACATCAGCGACGCTCCAGGTCATGATCGCAACGCCGAGAATACGGGCCCATCGCACCATGGATACCATCGTTATCAGTGCTGTGTACATCAATAGGACCGACAGCTTACTGAAGCACACGGTCGTGTTCCACAGTATTGCAAATGCCATGATGCCCTAAGACATGGCAGGTTAGCGCTTGCAATTGCGAGAGAAGAGTGACTGTTCTTGCCTTGAAGAAGAAGGTCGCCGCGTCAGGCCCAAAGCGCTGATAGATATCCGTGGTATGAAAGCCAAAGCCGCCATATGTGACCAGCGAAATGCAGCAAGCGTGCAGTGCAGTATTGCATACCTGGCAGATATATCAGCACCAAACTGTTTCGATTCCCGGTTCAACATACCAAGGCAGCAAGAATGCAATAATCACTGCAATCAATCCGGTTCGCGATCCTCTTGGCTAGAAGTCGCAGACCTACAGCGACAACGACCATCAGGATAGAAATGGACGAAGTCACGAGAACGCCGACTTGTTGCCCATTATCGATGGTTGTCATATTGGCGTTCGAGATAGGTCTGCTCGATGGATCTGTGGCGTGGAAATGTCCGAGGAGCGTGGAGGCTTGAACAGGTACCGTCGGGGCCCGACAATGGGGGAGTACCAACCAAAAGGTACCTACTATCACACACCCCCATAGTCGGAGAAGCATGTAGGCACAGACCTGACATGGCAAACATACTGATCGAAGTGCTTCCTAGCCACTAACAGCTATCGGAATCCTCAGAGCGGTTGAGATCACATGAGCCCAACAAGCATTTGTTGAAGACTGACAACCAACAGCAGTGAACGGCGGCCTAAGAACCAATAGGAATAAGATTGCACACCGCAACCTTGCATATTGCCGTTTGCTGGTGCTCTCGTGGCGGCCTGACTCCGGGTGACGGCGGCATCTGAGGCGAACCAGTGAACAGTGCGTTTGCACGCCTGGACTACAAGATAGTTATGCCGTCAATGAACTCCAGAGAGCGGCACAGGACCGATATTTCAAGGTTGCTTGCCGCGACTGTCAGACCCCTGCTGTCGTTTCACCGGCGTAAAGACTACCCCGCGACGAAGGCTGTGACGGGAAACGCTGCGCGACACGATTTTTGTCCTTACGAAGGATCGCATACCCTGTACATATATACGTGAAGTTACGCTGGAGTCGCCCCACCCGAAGCGTCCCCCCACCTGCTCTCCAGTAGCTGGTTGGATGCCGTGCCGCAATGCCAAGCTAGCGCGGATGCGGGCAAACCGCGTCCTTGATTTCGCCTGCAAGCTTCCAGCCGGCGATACATCTTTGTCGAAATCTGATTAATAGGTTCCAGCAGATTGGCCGACATCTAATCAGCCTGGAAGGTCTGAAGACTCGTTATCAAAACGAGCGAAGAATGCATACCGGACCTTAGACGGGCATCTGGGGTCCGCGAATTCCAGATATCCGCCAATGTTCAGGCCGCACGGCAATGCAAAATCGCTAGACGCGCTCGGAGAAACGACAAGAAAAAGGAAACGCTCCTTTTTGAAGGACGCGGAGCAGCTACTCTCGGTGCAGTGTGGAAAGTGCCGCACCCCATTGCGGGACAAAGATGGGGACCAGGGACTACCGCGCATGCACATAGCCAAAACCGTATCCACGAATGGTCTTGCCGTTGCTTGTTACATATGATGGTTCATCCTCCTAGAATGCGCCGCAGGCTGTCCACCGGATACCGATCGTTAACACCATGGGTTCCATTTCGCAGGATGAGCGCAAAGTCGCCATCATCACCGGTGGCACGGTTCGTCCCATCACATAACCGCAGTTGATCTGAGCTTGCTGACAGGTTCAAGTAGAGTGGGATCGGTTCCTGGCTAGCAGCCCGGTTACAGGCGCGAGGTTACCGTGTCGCGATCTGTGGTCGACGTGAAAGCGAAGGCAAAGAAGTCGCTTCATCAATCGATGCGACCGGAGATTCGGTCATCTTTGTCCAATGCGACGTCAGCTCGTACGCCTCACAAACCAACCTCTTCCAGACCACATGGAACAAATGGGGTCGCCTAGACGTTCTGATCGCGAATGCGGGCTTTCCCGATCGTGGTTCCGTGTTCAATCTCAACCGCCGCGATGCGCCCATCGACGACCTGCCTCCCGAACCAGATACCAGCTGTACAGACGTTGTGGTGAAAGGACGAATGTATGGCACGACGCTGGCTACGCACTACATGCGCCACAATCCAGGAGGCAAAGGCGGCAAGATCATCATCACAGGAAGCATGCTGGGCATATATCCATGCCACAGCTTTCCAGAGTACTGCGCGGCTGAGGCAGCGACAGCAATGTGGACCAAGACGACCGGACCTGTTCTATTAGCCAAAGACAACATCTCCATCAACTGCTTAATGCTCGGCCCGATCGAGACTCCAGTCATGCCTGGCTTCAGCAAAGCCTTTCACCCAGAGCACATGATGCTGCAATCGACCCTCTTCGCCGGTTACGATCTATTTCTTGATGATGAGAAGAACCAGAGGACAGGGCAAGTTGTCGAGATAGGGCACGACAGACTGGTAGAATGGGGACATCCGGGTTACAAGAATGGAGCTTTCTCGAAGCGTAGTGAGGCTGTCTTCGAGCCATGGTTTGCTATGGTGCATGGAGAGAAGAGCGGCTTGCCCGGTACGATTCACGACTGGCCGAACCGCGGTAACAAGATTATCGCTGTGACAGGCGCGACAGGAAGCCAGGGTGGCGGAGTAGTCAACATCATGAACAAGACGCTTGGATGGACAGTCAGGGCGATCACCCGAAACCCAGACAGTGATGCGGCGAAGAAGCTGGCAGCGGAGGGTACTGAGGTTGTAAAAGCCGATTTCGAGGACGAGGCATCGTTGCGAGCTGCCTTCGATGGCGCAAATGCCGTCTTTGCGGTCACAAATTGGTGGGAAGCGCTGTTTCGGGGCAAAAGCCAGCACGAATGTGGCGAGATCGAAGAGCGACATGGCATGAACCTCGCTCGGGCTGCCACGGCCACACGATCAGTCGAACACTACATTTGGTCGACTTGCCCAAGCGCGAAGCGTCGGTTCTGGGGCAAGATGGAAGCGCCGCACATGGATTACAAGGCGAACGTGGACGCGCGCATCAAGGCCGAGTTGCCGCAGCTTGCTGCAATCACGACTTACCTGTACTTCGGATACTATCCGCAGAACATGGCTTTCTTCCCACTCTGCAAGCCCTTCGAATACGTGAGTCTGAATAATCCCTCTTCATATGGGCGCATTGAACTGACATCTAATCCAGCCCGGCACCGGCAAATACATCCAAGCGATGCCCACGAAGCCGGACGCCAAAGTCCTTGTAGCCGGCGATATGACAGTCAACCCCGGCATCTGGGTCCGCCAGGTGCTTACTACTGGTGACAAGGCTTATGGTAGATACGCGAATGTCGCGCTCGAGAAGATGACATACCAGGAGATGGTCGATGTATGGTCGGAAGTCACTGGCAAGAGCTGTGTCTTTGCTGAGCTCAGTATGGAGACGGCGACCAAGCTTTACGGCGATGTGGGCAATGAACTGGCACTCCAGTTCAAGTATGGCGAGGCTTGCGATCCTTGGGAGGTCACCGAGGAGTTTGTGAGCCCAGAGGAGCTGGGCATAGACGCTGGGGAGGTCGTTGGGTTCAGAGGCACGATCGAAGGCCTCAATGCGGCAGGGTTCTGGGCATGATGCTAACGCGTGTTCATTCTGATGCTCGCGTAGGGTAATGCAAATTGTTTGTGACTACTCTGGTGGTATGGGGACTCTGGAAGACGAGCCGGCGGACGCGACGATGGTTCTCGTGTGTAGACGGGCTTCTCTAGTAATGGTCAGCTTAATAATCATAATGATGGTTATGCAACAGACAGTCACACATTAATTAGGGGTCGTAGCCCGCTGACGATCAGATATCGCCTTCGTTGTGGAAGCTGAGGATGAAGGTGTCGCGTCGGGGGTAGCGGCAGGAGAACCTCGACCGTTCGCGGGATAGTAGCCCAAGCGGTTCGAACATGGCTGGAAGTTGTTGCGTATCTCCGAAAGTGTCTTCTGCGATCCAATCCTCGTGTCTGATCCTTCCAACCATGGTGGTGAGGATGTGACGTCGTGCTCGTTCGCGAGTCGCCTTGAGGGTCAGTGGGGCTCCAATGCGCGGTTTGGGGAGCTCGGCAAGGCTTTCATATTGTCTCTGCATCGTCAAATCGCGAGCGAAGGGCGCGAGCGACGCATGGAATCGTATTGCTGTGTGGTGATACGGTGGTATGTTGTTCAGCTCTGGGCGGGCCTTGTCGGGGTTCCCGTTCCCGCGACCCGCCAATGCCGCCACGTGCCTACCCGTAAGCACGCGACGCGCAAACACGTGCTACCATCATGTCGCCACCAGCTGAAAACAATCCGCGGATTTGTCTCGGGCTGGCGTCCCGCCTACGAGCATCTTTCCCGGGACTATAACAAATTGACCCATTCATCATTTGCCAACGTATTGCGCCTGATGCGTGAGGTTTGATCTACATTCACGGCATGAGCATTCGCGCAATTTTATGACAAGCAACGGTACCACCAAGAAGCCTCTTTGAGATGGCGGGTGTATATTGAATAGAGAAGGACAGTGAAGTTTGGTGTTGTGTGAGTATGGCGAAGCGCGAAAGACAGAGAAGAGAATCCTTCTGGTCGTACATATCAAAGCGCATCTGCATGCACAACGGGTGGCTCGTGCGGCCCCTGCTTACGACATTCCTCAGGTGCATCCCAGCATACTGGCGCTGCCCATATCTTCTTATCTACGACAGTATCTTTCGGGGCGCCTGGGGCGCGTGAGATGTCAGAGGAACTAGAAGACTCCGCATCCGTCACCTGCGCATCCTTCTTCGATTGTAGCTCAACCTGCGCATCGACGTCGTCCTCATTGTCGAACCAGGACGGCGGGTCCAACAAACGGGGAAGCTTAGCTGGCGCCTTCTTGTTCCCTTTCTCTAGATGCGCCCCCGAGTTGAGGGTGTCGCCATGGTTCGGCGGGCTGCGGGCCTTGCTTCTCGAAAAGAGAGGACGCATGAGCGGTATGCAAGCCACAACGATCATGACTGCGCATTCGAGGCCACCTAGGAACATGGCGATGGCCATGTCCGAGTATCGATTGACCTTTCGCCAATTCAGACCCCACAAGCACTTCTGGCGATAAATAGTAATGGCCCAGGTCCTAAGGTTCATGTTAGCATATTGCAGGCGATGAAAGTCTGTCTGGTATACGTACACTATACCCATCCCTAGTAAGACAATGGCAACGATCTTCTTACGCCATGACGTCCGTAGGCGGATCAGATACGGCATCGGAAGTGCGATGATGATTGTATCGATGATCAGATTCAGTAAGCCCATGATGAAATAGAACAGAGTCTGGTTAGGGCATTTGTCTGCGTTGATCCATGCCATGTTGAACGGTCTGCAAATCGACAATACTGCAATCAGATCTGCCACTGTCCATACGACGATGGTCGCGCCGAAATAGCGACATATTACGCGCATGGATGCGTTGGGTATGATCGAAGTGTACATGAGCAGGACAGAGAGCTTAGACAGGCAGGCAGTGACATGCCAAGTGCACACTGCGACTAACGTGCCTTTGGACAGGATGCGCATGTTGAGGATACCAAAACGCTGTAGGAGGGTTGTGAGTTCGAGGCCATAGCCTGCGTGGAAGACGAGGTATAAGTGGTTGCAGTTTGTTGCTAGATTGAACACCTGTCAAGTCAAGTCAGTGACATTACTCTGCAAGATGCTCTCGGTAGCTACGTGGGCGATGTGATGCATCCGAAGGCAGTATAAAGTCGAAGGATGAGGATGTAATACCAAAGCTGCTATAATGCAGTAGTCGCTGGCGTCGATTCGTTTGCGGATGTATTTGGCCACAAGACGTAAGATGACCGCGATGGTAGACAAAGCGATCGAGCTGACTGATAAAGCGATTGTCCAGACCTGCAGTCCAGTTTCGATCGAGAAAGCCATACTGAGCGAAAAACGCGCCTTGCGAATATGGATAGTTCAATGGTAGATAGAGGATGCGAAGATACCGCTTCGTCGAGTCATGGGGGCTTCAAATACAGACATTGCAACCTCGACAACATCACAATGTCGATTGTCTGCCTCTACACCCTTCCAACGGACGCAAGCCACTCGAGACTTCCGAACGGTGAGAAATCGAGCCTTCCGAACGGTGAACTTTCGACCCTTTCGAAGGGAGGACATCCGAAGAGTTCACTCAATCTCGGCATTGAATTTCTCCAAAGGGATCACTGTATACTGCAAAGCTCATGCTAGTGCATCATGCACCGAGGGCCTAATTGAGAACAGATGCATAACGTAGATGCAGTCAGACACATGAGTGGTCCGTGGGAAAATCTCACTCGATCTCGGCGTTGAATTTTCACAAAGGGATCTCTGTATACTGTAAAGCTCATGTTGCTGTATCATGCAACCATAGCCTAATAGAAATTGGATGCATGATGTAAATGCAATCAGACACACAGTGGTCCGTGGGAAGATCGAGGCATCGCATGACGGGCCGCGGGAGTGGTTCGTGATCGGAAAGGATCTAGCCACCGGGAAGATCGGTTCAGAGGCCACCCACAAGGAGTGCGTCTCCAAAAAAACGATGAGTAGTCGCATAACTTATATGACGAACGCGCAATACGATAAACACAGGGGGTGCGATGGCCGTTCTGTTGGGCACTGAGAGCAGCGCATGCTGAATGTCCAGGATGGTAGTTGTCGTGAAGGGAGCGCAGGCAGGAAGGCTGCGGGCGACGCCAGTTTGTGGATCCCCGCTTTTAGAATCAACGCTTTACCAGACCAAGACTAGCGCGAGATGAACGGTCAGCTCTCGCGCCTCCTACACGTCGCGTTCCTCAGCCCACAACAGCAACCAATATCTTCAAGGCGCGTATCGGCTTATTGTTCTCATCTCATGCATTGAATGTCGCCCCCGAATAGCGGTGTCATTTCACCGTTGATGATCATCTCCCTCATCGGAAACAAGAGGTCGAACTGCCCCAACCCCAGCCATGCCAGCCCACGATCTGCTCGGGCTGCCATTGGTGTTATTTCGCATGATCGTAGAGATAGTAAGCACCCTTATGGTTTGGCCGAGCATGCAATCGACTAAAACCGGCATAGCTTCACGACGACGATGCGAAATCGCTGTATTCACTGCGATGTGTGTCCAGAGTATGCCGCGACGAATCCGACATGTTACTCTTTCGTAGCATCCGTCTAAGAGATCGTTTAGATCTCGTCGAGCTTGAATCTGGCATAACCATGGACTTGTACATGGATGAAGCTATTGTTGTCCAGGAAGAGTTTTGGTTGCAGAAAGTAACTAAGAACCTGCTGCAATGCATACTGGATAAGAATAGATTTATCGCGAGACATGTCAGACATCTGGAGATCGGGGCGTTCCATCAGGGCTTCTTCGATGAGGCGCTCGCGTCTGTTCTGGAGGATGTATTAACGATGACGACTGGCCTGCAGTCTCTGAGGTAGGGCTGAACCCTTGTTGATATACTCGTATACTAACTTGGCACAGCTGGGGCACGAGCATACCTATACCAGAGGGTACCCTCCAGCTGTTTCACACGATGCATTCCACGGCTCGCCTGCACGTGACGAATCTCGAGCGGGAAGGGAAGCCTCTGGATCGACGTCTACTCTTCTCAACGCAGCTTCACTCCCTCCGGTTGTGCGTTCCCTACGATGAACCAGACCAAAACCTTCCCCTAAAGAGTGGTCACAGCGAGCTCCAGATTCTGAAAAGGTACCTGATGCTCGGCAACAGCATCAAGAAACTTGATTTGAGCTTCGAAGACGCTAAGCTTACGATACATGATAAAGCGCTTGTCGGTCTTAAAGACTGCGCACATGGCCCTTTGAATTTTCATTGGCAAGAAGGAGATCGATTTCCCACACTTGAGGAGTGGGTTATGAGCGAGAGTCACGGAGACTACGCTTACACGGCGCAACACATGGACATGTGGCATCGATGCATGGATTGGTCCCTGCTCCGCGTTCTTGATCTTAGTCATTGGAACATGTATCCTTCATCTATGCTGCCGATAATATCGTTGACTGACCATGTCCCGCGGCTTGAGTCTTTGAGTCTCGCCGTCTTGAACTACAACGAACACGATAAGAAAGATCCAAATCGCTCACTGTCAATATTGGAAGAGTTTCTGCGGAATGTTTTAGCACTCAAAAGATTGCGTCTAGTATGGCACGGTATCTCGGACTGTCTACCAAAAATATTACAACAACAAGGCTCGACGCTGCGTGAATTGAGCTTGGGGGACCTTAGCGATACGGCTTCCTGGAGCCACCAGCTCTTTCTCTACATACTGAGCGAGGCGCCGCAGCTGTGCCATCTGGGCGTAGAGAAGTCAAACCAACACTCTGAGTTCGAACTAGAAGGGAGGTGGTCAGGTAAAGCCGTCAACTCATCGCCATCTGAGAAGTATAAGAGCATGGAGCATATGCTCATGAGGTGGCAGGTCAACAAAGCCAAAGCAGAAGCCGCTATTCTGAAACGCTTGGATATACCAGACGTACAAAGGCGAGCTGGAAGATACGAATTGCACGCCACAGGAGTCACTTGGATACGGAATTCACCGTAGACAAGTCATATTCGTGTTATGTCTTCGATTCCTGGTTCGATTCGTCTGATACAAAGAAGACCTTTCGCATACCTAGTAAGAGGTTAGACCGCGCCTTTTGATCAACAACGTGTTATACACTCTCCTCCCTGGATGACAAGCTTATAAAATTTACCAATTCGCATATTCTTCGTTCATAAAAAATCTTGATGCTTGAACCCGGGCACAGTCGCGATTACACAACACGATAAATTATCGTAATGCAGATGTATTTCCTGAAAATCTTGTCCTCGCTATAGGTACCCATATATTCCCTTAGTACATCTCAGATCTCAGCAACAACCATGAAGCCATGCACCCAAGAAAGGTCACAACGAATCTCCATGTCAAATCAGAGGTTGGGGAACGACACAAGACCTTTGTCATGCGACTCAAAGATCCGCAAATCCAAGGATCTCGCGACTTCCCGTATCATGTCGATGGCGTCTAACAAATTATAACCTTGAAGAGACAGCTGTTCGATCAGCGGACACCATGTGTCCTTAAGCTGTAGCATATCACGAAGGCAATCTTCGCTCAATTCGGTGTTGAAATAGCAGTCCTGCAACTTCAGAGATTTCAACGACTCTGGTAGGTGACAGAGGTTCGTAAGTTTCTCAAACTGGATCGTTATGTGCGATAGCATCTCAAAATCGCGAAACGAGGGGTAAACGTAGTGTAACGAGTCTTCGCCGTGCAGTTCGATGTCTTCTTGGAACCACGCATCGCGCATATCGTAGTGGCTGTTGAAGTGCAATTCCAGGGTCTTTAGAGTTGCTTTATGCTTCTCCAGCAACGCGATCACCAGATCTTGTGGAGTGACGAGGGGTTGGCTCCCAATATCGTCTGGCAACATCCCCCCAAAACGCCTGTCGTCTGGGATGATAAATCTGAACGTTTCCAAGCGAGGACATGCATCTAGAGCTTGTCGCATTGTAGCGAGTGGCCCAAGACTCCACCACAATTCAATCGCCGATGGTGTCAGTACGTTCGTGGCAGGATGAGCATTATTACCGGCCGATGCTTCGTTTTCGGTAGAGAATGAAGTGAACGATGGATATCGCAGGAGCGGGATGTAGTCAGCTATGTTGATTGGCTGGTTATCGAAATGCTTGTGCCTGCAGGTTAATGAGCGAGAGCGACATGAGCGGGAGTCGGCGATGCTTACAGATGGAACGTCTCCAACTTGGCGAGGAAGGCATCACTCGAAGCTCTCATCGCATGCATCCCTTGCAGTAGTCCGCGAGGGGGCAGATTGTGTGTATCCATACGAAGATGCCGTAGATTGGGCAGACAAAGAAGTGTGCATAACACAAGCGTCTGATACAACATGCTCCGTTCGCTATCGAGATTCTGAGTTTCGAATAATGCCAATAATTTGTCGAAAGTGGGACGGCGCATAAGGTCAGGTTCTTTATACGGGGCTGGTCGATGGTAATGTAAAGTGAGCGATCGCGTCTTCTTTGCGAGCTTGGGGCGTTCGACACAGGTCCGCAAGAAAAGCTCAAGAGATCTCATCGTCTCAGGCATTGACTGTCCTAGTACAACGCAGGTGTAGAGCGCGGGTTGCGCAACAGCTGCCAGCGCGCGGGATGTTTTGCATAATTGCCATAGTGCTCTGACATCCGACCAGTGACCCGTTTCGAGATGCGCGACTATGGAATAAAGCAGTTCGTTGGAAAGATCAGTGAGCTTCGCCATGGTTTGATGCGGGGTGACCGTCGCAGGTGTCGCAAGCTAAGTGCACAATGGCAGGCGGCAACATTAGTAAGCGACGCCAGCTTCGCGGGGCTATCTTTTTGGCGAATTGGCATTCCGGCCGGTGGCCACAACCTTCACCCTCACCAATGATCGAGCTCACGGTATCAGTCACACAAAAGAAGCTTCTCAGTAGTACAATAGATATGGATTCAGGAATCACAAAAGAAATCTAACAAATAACGGGACCTCCTTCCCGTATCCCTCCCAACCAGTCCTAGCTCGCCAATGCAGATAGCCTACATCATCACGCAAGGGGAGCACCGCTTCTTGCCGCACCTCTTCTTGTTCTCCTTGCGCTGGGTCCGCTTCATCGACTAGATGATCGTTAGCACATACCATATCAAGCCCACTCAAAGTATGACTTACAGCGACCTTCATGTCCTCGAGGAGATTAGCCTCCCAAGCCTCGTCTGTCTCCACAATGACTGTGGTAGCGTCAGTGCTGTCCTCGGCGACAGCGGTGGTAGCGGCGGCAGCGGTGGGGGTTGCCTCAGAAGGCGTGTCGGCCACGGTGACCATGGGGATGGGCATCCCGCTGGGAGGCAGAATGACGGAGGTGGACCAGGCAGTGACCTCGGGCCAGGTAGGCTCGTCGGCCACGGTGACCATGGGGACGGGAAACCCGCTGGGAGGCAGGATGACGGAGGTGGACCAGGCAGTGACCTCGGGCCAGGTAGGCTCGTCGGCCACGGTGACCTGGGGGATAGGCATCCCACTGGGAGGCAGGATGACGGAGGTATATGTAAAACCTGCCGGGGTGGTCTGAGAAGGGATCAGGCATGTTAGTCTATACTTCATGAAACAGTTGTGAAATGAATTGCTTACGTTTGTGGTGAGAGCAGGCATTCTGCTTCGATTTCTGATTTTGAGATACTTTGTTGTCGATGCCTTGGGTTGAAGATGGTATATTGTAAGTACTTAGGAGGGATGAAGAGGTTTATATAGAGATATCCTTACGTTCTGCTCTGGTAGCGCACGGAATTATATTGGTGGTTTGTGTGGGCACAAATTTCAAAATCCTCTTCGCTACCCTTGGAATGTTGTCTCGCTCAACCACTTAGATCCATTGCATCCACAATGCATACCAAAACTTTTAAAATTGGAAGCTTGGAGACAAAGATACTCCATAGCCGTCCAATAACATATCCGATATCTCATGCCAGTGTGGCAGCGACAATGGTATCCATGGCCTCACTAAGAAACCGCATCTCCACAGTTGAGGAATACAACCCGCGCGACCATCGCAATCATGCAGTCCAAAGCCCCCCGTGGAGCATACCATGGCTGTGAGAATAGGCCGGAAGTTTTGGGATAAGAGTGCTTGCCAACTACCCAATGATGTTCGTGATATATCAAGCCAGGTCGGTAGCGACCGTAGTTCCCAACACCTCGCAAAAAGCCCACACCTCGACAACTGGAAATCACTACCAGTCTGACTATCGTGGATACACGCCGAAGACTTCCCCATCTAGCATACCATAGTTGCACGCGTCCCTTACAAAGCGCTCAACACACCCATCCGCAACACCCTCACTGCGACTGGCTTCCATAGCCACCGCACTAGCCTGCCCCATGCGGTACCATCGTACCATCGTACCATCGCACCTTCCCTCACCACCCACCCATCCCCACGCTCCCCAACATCCCCATAACCGCGCACCCTCGTCGCTTCCAAACCGGGGAAAAGTAGCTTAGCGCCTCCCACACAACTTCCCATCTATATCATCTCACTTTCCACTTCCTTTCCTCCATCTCTCCTTCCCGTCACTTCACACAACGCAAGTCCGCACACGTACTGCAAGCTACCTTCCCCAAACCAACTCACCAAGACTACAACGCACCTACCCAAACCCCCACTCACCTAACGCAACAACCAATACGAAGATGCACACCCCAACCATCCTCATCATCGCGGCCGCCGCCAGCGCCGCCGTCGCCGCGCCCGTCACCACTGTCAAGCCTACCGACTCAACCAACCCTACCAAACCTACCAACCCTACCAACTACAACGCCCCCATCGCCAAGGCACTTGTCTCAGCCGGCATGGTCGACACAGAAGGCCACTGCATGCACCCTCTGCACGACGGCCTCGCGTATCCACCGCGTGCCGCCCTCTATGCTGCTGACGCCGCCGCCGCTGACTTCGCTGCCGCTTCTGTCGCTGCCGCCCAGGCGGAAGAGGAAGAGACACAAGAGCAGTACAACAAGAAGCTTGTCAAGATGGACAAGGCTCGTGAGCACGGCGTTGTTTGCACTGTTTTGTAGAGTTCACCTTTACAGTAAGTACTTCACATGCACGCTTCTGCGATAATCCTAGCTAACACGCCGGCAGTCTGGCGCATCTACACGCCCCCTGGCGAGTTGCACGAAGGAAGGGTGATTTACATGAGAGATTGGGAGAATATTGAGGGATACACGGCATGGCGTTAGGCGCACCGTAGTGACGTTAATCACGATCACGGATACGAACACGAATACGAACACTGCGCTCTTAGAGGCTTTTCATGATGTCAATCTGATTCAAACATTACAAACAGTCTACACTATCATGCCGTTGTAAAACATCATCTCTCTACTAACACCCCTGCTTATACGTGATCTCACAACGATGCGCCTTCGGTGCGATGAGGAAGAAGTTCTAACACCAGATATTAGCTTACATGTCACACACACCCCACACACCCCCCACAAACGCATGCATGAACTTACCTCAAACTCCATACTCTCAGGCGTCGTACTGGCCGCCAACCGAATACCACGGCATTCGCGGAAGAAGAACGCAGTCGCATACCGCAGTTCCATGCGCGCGAGATGGATACCGATACACGATCTTGCACCAGCGCCGAAGGGATGGAAAGCGAGCTTCGCCTCAGGCGACTGCGCTTCAGGCACCATTTCCTTGTCAATGGCGATCCAGCGCTGTGGGTTGAAACTACCGAGGGTCAGCTTGCTAATGCGCGATGCGATGAAGTGCAAAGGCACGACTTACGTCAGAGGGTCGCTCCAGATCTTAGGGTCGCGATGCAAAGTGTAGGCTTGCGTGTCGACGGTAACGCCCTGTGGGATGTAGTGACCAGCGAACTTGGTGCCACCTTGCGGTACCACTCTCGGCAGACTACTCGGCGCCGCACCGTAGAGTCGGAGCGTCTCTTCGATAACCGCGTTGAGCAGCGGAAGTTTGATGAGATCGTTTTCGGTAAAGTCATGCGCTAGCGCCGCGGTCTCAGCCTCAAGCGCCGCTTGCAGCTCTGGTCGTTGGAGCACCGCCCATGTGAGGTACGTCAGGGTGACTCCCGTCGTATCGGTGCCTGCAATGATGACGTTCATGGCTTCGATTCTGACGTCCATGTCGTCAATGTGACCCTCTCCTTCCTTCTCGCAGTCCTCGATGACTTTCGCGAAGATGTTGTTCTCGCCGGTGCGCGAGCGTGCTGTTTCGACGGCTTTGCCTGCGCCGGCGAGGATGAACTCGTTTGCGTTGAACATTTCTTGGATCGCTGGGACTGGGATGAAGCGCAGGAGGCGGAGGAATGGCATCTCGACCATGATGCCAGCGCCCATTGTCAGCTTCTTCAGCACGCGCATGAATTGGTTTTGCTGCGATATGTCAGCTTTGATGTGGCATTCGTAGTCGCATCTTCATACCTCTCCTGATTCCAGCATGTTGAATGAGTCGCCAAATGCGAGGTGAGCGCTAACGTCCGAGGCAAGAAGCATCCACCAGTTGTACACGTCGGCTGTCGCTTGCGTAGCATCCGCCTTGATCTTTGTAACAGCCATGAGCGCTTTGTCTCTGACGACAGACTCCCAATGCTCGACAAGGTACGTCCTGCTGAATGATCTCGACAATAGCTTCCTTCGCGGTCCATGCTCGCGTGGGTCAAGCATGGTGAACACACCGGCCTTGGGGAAGTTCGCAAGGCGGAGGTACCATTCGCTCTTCATGTACTTGGTGCCAATCTTGTGAATCTCTTTGAAGGCATCCAAGTCGGCAACGGCAACCTCGTTAGGCGATAATCGTACAATGGGTCCATATTGATCATGCAGGGAGTCGATGTAGAAGATGCGCTGCCCTGTTACGACTGCGCGCTTCAAGCGATAATGTGTGAATCGAGTATACCAAGGGCCTGGCAAATGCTTCGTCCGACAGGTAAGACCAACGTAGAGGAACTGTAGTTGTTAGTACTGGGTTGCGGAAAGGATATCTTCGCTGCACTACCTTTGCTACCAGCAGGCCGATTGCCAACAAGAATGCGTAGGCGAACGAAGCCATGTTGCGATGTAGTCGCTCGGACCAGAGACAATAGAGCTGATGTAGTTGCAGTACGAGCAATGGAAGCTCTGGAGTGCTATCAGTCAATTGAGGACTCGGTGCAGATATGCTGTCGGCACGGTACTTAGACCAGTGCTACGGATCTACTCAGATGAAAATGACCTGCGTGCGCAAGAGACGTACTCTTATCCATCTTCATTTCTTCTTTCGCTAGACCAAACAGGATCAGCGGGCATCGTGTACCGGCATTGCTTTTGCGTACACCGGTCTACGGTCAACTGGGGACCCGACAAAGATAGCTAACGGTCCCTGTAGACCTCCGACCATCGTCGCGCAACTCTGTTGTGACATTGCATGGGGGCACGCGAGCGGCTGTCAGAGCGAAGCAGGCGAATGACAGACGCAGGGCGCTCCTCCGCATCAAGATCTCCAGATGAAACCTTGCCGAATCGAGTATAACGTAGATTGACCGCGCCGAAACATGCATGGTGCTCGCTGGTAGAGGGAGGGTATACCGGCTCGGGCCCAGGGCGCTCTTCTGAGGCGGAGGACGTTCTGGCGATGGCTCCGTTAGACAGCCGCACTGCCTTCACGCGAACGTCCGTTGCTGTCTCGATTCGTTCAAGGTCGGGTTCGGTTGTTATTGATGTGCTCAATGTGGGCAAAAGTCGCACCCCGCGGAAGCCGAAGCCAGCAAAGGTAGTACCAATCCGATAGTTCATATGATTCGCAGAATGCGTCTGGCCTGCTACCCAATCTCCGCAATGCGGGGATACTGTAGATAATCAATGTGGAGACTAGATAGAGATTAGCAGAAGCGCTAGAGGCACATCACCGCCATGATCGCCGTTGGCTTACCGCAAGCTTCGAGTCAACGTCAACCCCACCTCATACCGAACTCTACACAAAGCCATATCCTTGTACCCCGCCAGCTCGTATACAGGATAGCGTTGTCGAAGCGAGTATCTCCGGGCGCTGCATAGTCGGAACAAGAGGCGCGTGCCGATGAGGTCCACGCGAACGCAGCCGGGAATCAAGGGAACCGTGGCCGGGTTGGGTGTTGTGGTGCGGCTTGCTTCTGTGGCTTCGTTGGGATGATCGGGTACAATACTGAAGACACGGAAGGTGGTCGGAACTTCGAAAGCGCGAACGCAAAACTATTGACTCAATCGCGACGAGAGCCCTGGGCAAAAGCACCATGTTCGCATCTTGCCGATACAAAGCATCGCAAAGACGTTCGTGATACCTCTTACTGAATGCCCTCCCAGAAGCGGGCTACTTCGTGCTGGGAAGATGCCTCGTATCCGGCTGAGCTTCTGCACACTTCACTAGGCGTACCGGCTTCTCAGCAGACAGGCAAACACCAGGTACGATGGCGTCGCTGGAAGGTCTGGCCGCGAACAAAGTCAGCTCAGGCCGTCATTGTGACAGGTCGTTGATTACATATGGCGGCGCATGCTGGCTGTCGCGATGCGTTGTGTTGACCCCGCGCAGTCGGCCAGCCATGCGCGCAAATCCCGATTGTTGTGGCTGAACGCATGAGTCCTGCGACCGAAGACTTCCGGACCGCAACTGTTGCTGCAAATGGGTTACCGGGTATCGACATGCGGATGTGACAGCGGACGGGCCGATGGAAAATGCTGAATGTGAGATGGACGAAGGTGGTTGCATTTGGGGAGCACATGTATCACCACGGAAGGAGGTCGTGACGTCAACCGTTACCTGCCGCCAGAGCGGGTGTTGCCCGTCGCTGTGCAGCTGGGTATAGCTTGAATGATGCTAAGCATTACTTGGGGTATATCATACTACCGTTGACATATCATCTTGCTGCAGGTGTGTGTCACGTATCGTGGTGAGCGACTGTCCAGTTGGCTCCTGCTTGCTACGGTAGCCGTGGAGGCTGTTCTTACAACGCTGCACGCGGCGGAACCGTCAATAGCTATTCCGCACCCAGTCAATGGAAATGCCACAAATCGCCATGACACATGTTGTCGACCCCTGTTCATCGCCTCAAACACGCATCTGCGGATGGCACTCCAAGATGTATGCAATTTCGTGCTCACCCAAACGAGAAGGGTATTAGAAATTAGTGTTGGTGTAACGAAGCCGGACTTTGGCTCACATGCGCCGGGAGAACGAGCAGTCTATCAGTCCCTCGCGCTTTTCAGCCAGTTCCTTCACTCGTTGCCACGAACCCACCAAAAATTACAGCATCCATCTTCCCACCAAATTCCAGTTCCCATCACTACCTACCCTTCCATCCCCATTTCCCCCCCAAAAATATGCCCATGCCACCTCCAACAACTCTTACACGTCACCTCCAAACACGGCGTCTCATACGTAATTCTATTCTGCCATCCCCCCTTCCTTTGTCTCTTCGGTCCGCCGTAATGGAAGCGGAATAGCTTTACCTTGCAAGACTTCACACCATTTCCTGCGTCTTTCGTATTCCTGCGCTTTGCTTCGCGGATTAGGCTTGACGGGGGTAATAATAGACGTCGTAACTTGAGAGTCAGCTTTCGTGGTGCGTTGTTTGTTTTGTGTAGCGGAGTTGAGGGAGGGGGAGGGTAGGCGTTCCATATGTGTGCTGGTATCTTGAGTTTGAGACGTGTTCTGTTCGGACATGGGTGACTCTTGGTCGCTGTGCCAGGTTGGTAGGCGTTCCATATTTCCTTTGATATCCTGATCTTTGGGCCCATGATGCCCGTAATCAGGTCGGTCATTGCGATGCTTTCACCAGTATATTGGTTGGCTAGGCACGCTCGTTCCACTGTCGGAATTGCGGTTTCCACCATTTTCGTGATGCGACAACCATCAAGCTGCCAGCTACAAAGTTTGTCAGTGTATTCGCTGGTCGTTGTCAGCTTGCACGACTGCGACAAGCAATGCTGCGATGAAAGCATGGCTGCTGGAACAAAGGTGTTTCAGATTGTTGAAATGAATGCCATTGTCTTGCCCATGACCAGGTGTCTTTCTCTAATGATTTCCCGCGTAAATGCTCATGATGCGATGCTGAATGCTAGATAATAGGGTGAAAGTCGCGTGAGAACAACCGTCTACTCGTAACACTGGTCCCAAAGACCACCACTCCTCGCAAAGCTCTGGCTCTCCACAAACTTACTCAACGTACACCTGCCAAACCTGTCGCCGTCGCAAAACTCCAATGGGTGTACGCGGTCGTTCACAATGACACGGACCGACTCTTCCTTCGCATGCCTGCACTGCAGCTTCTCCACGTAGAGTCGGGCTGCGAAAGGTACACTCCACGCTGCTGAATAGCCATGTGTCTTCTTTGTATCCTCGATGGTGGTGTTCGACAGCGGCTTCGTCTTGTTGTATAGACCAAGCGCAGCCAAAACACCGCTGATGTCGTTGTCGTGGCTGAAGTCGGCGTAGACCTTGCGGTCGAGCGGGAACGTCTTGGGGTCGGAGTCGAGCGTGCGGTTCGTGTTGGTGTTGTCGTCGACAGGCTTGTTAGTCAGACGCGCCAACAGCTCGTTGACGTAGCCGACGCCCTGCGTGGGACCGAGCGGGTTGCCGACGCTGTATCCGTAGTACTTGCCCAGCGTCTGGAAGTAGTCATACTCGCGCCATTCCTTCACTTTGAAGATCTTGCAGAAGTCGGACATCTTCGCAGACGGGTGTGCTAGTGTATCGAATGGACACATGTCCATCAGATAGACGATGGACGTCGCGCTGAGGTTCGTTCCAAGAGCTGAGTTGATGCGTTCTTGGATGGGTGGGACGAACTTGTCAGCCCAGACCTGCTGCGCCCTGAGTCCGAGACCGTGGTGTGGGCCGCCCTCGAAGGCGGGACAGACATCGTGAGAGAGGGTGTTGTTCCACGTCGGCCCTTCGGGGATCACCACGTCGATGTTTCGCGGCTCCTCTTTCAGGGACTGCGCAACGCCCATAAGCCATTTCTCCGCAGATTCGACCACGCGATGCTGGCCCCCTGACCGCACGAATGGCACGTTCCCGTCGATCAGCTTCTGGTATCGTTGGTAGAAGTGGGCCCCGGAGTTGACCATCTCCTGCCTTCCAGCATCTGTCAACTCATCCGCACCCAGGGTGTAGTCATAATCCTTCAGGAACTCGAATTCCTTCGGGTAGGTTGTAGTCGTGTTCTGTATTTCGGCTAGGAGGATGTGGTAGGCGATGGATTTTCCTAGAGTCGGGTCGCGGCCGCCGTGGCGGGAGAGGACGTTCGCAAAGGTGACTTCACAGCCCTTGGGGGGAGCTACGTCGATATCTGAGGGGACCGAATACCAAAGCGAGTATTGCCCCCAGAAGTGCGATTTCTTGGGACTACATCGGTAGCCTTGGTCGATGGTGTCGCACGACTTCTTGGGACGAGAGAATGTGAAGAGACTGGCGATTGTCAGCTTTGCGTGCTTCAGCATGTTGGTGCTTCGTACCCATGGACGCAATACAGCACCACACATGCGCCAACTGCGAGAAGAACCCGACGCCCAAAGCCCTTCGGTCGCTGTTCGCGTCGAGATCTGTTCGAAAGCGGCTCCTTCTCGCTCATTGGGAGCGGAGCATAGTCTTGCGAGCGATTGTTGCGCATCCTGTTCCACGCCTGCGTCATCTAAGAGATGGTTGAGTGAAGCGATACAATGCGAGTGGCATTGACGCGCTGCGTACTTCGGCACTAGATGTTGGGGAATCCAGTCGTCCAAGTGACGTATGGCCATCATGGTGTTTCGGCAGAAGCCGTGACCGCCAAGCCGACGCCCGGGCCCCATCCTCAAACTCCGCCAGCACTCTTCAATGCCTCAAGCTTTCACTCGCTGTCATCTGATCTCATCACATATCTCCAAGCCCATCTCCAAGAACACGCTCTTGACGCGCAATCTCCGGCTAGATACGGTCGCGTCCGCTTGCCGACACCAGTTAGGCCTGTGTGCAATTGCGCGATGTAACGCCGTTTCGTCAGCGCGAGATAGTCGTCGCTATGGCGCCTGATTGGCTTCTACCCCATGTTTTGGCCCCTGTGGAGACCACCACCGCGCCTCTTATCTGTGGATGAACCACAAGTAAGCATTGTCAAGCTTCCACCAGCCTGGTCGCCATGCCTGTTCGGTGCAGCCGACGTCAATGGCCGCATGGCTAAGAGCACGGCTTCGCGCATCCTTCCGGATCGCATCTTCACGTCCATGTGTTTATAGAGAGTGTCTGCTCCATCATCGTCTTCCGGTCATTGGTATCACGTCGCGCGGATCTGGTAGCTACCTGCATACGCCATCATGAAACCCGTTGAACGGCACACTCTGGACGATGAAGCCCAGTTGCAGGCACTCGGACACAAAGGCGAGTTGAAGCGCAACTTCAGTCTTTTGTCTATGCTTGGACTCGCTTTCGCCATCTTGAACTCGTGGACCGCGCTTTCGTCGTCAATCGGACTGGCATTGCCATCTGGTGGCTCCACGAGCGTCATCTGGGGACTTGTGACTGCTGGCATCTGTAACCTGTGTCTGGCCGCATCGCTGGCCGAGTTTCTGTCAGCATATCCTACAGCTGGCGGACAGTAAGTATTTCCAGTCAGCTTTCGCATCCTCAACTCACGCATTGCAGATACCATTGGGTCGCCGTCATTACCCCGCGGAAATGGGTACCCCTCGCCTCTTTCATCACCGGCTGGATCAACGTATCCGGATGGCTCGCCTTGACCACATCCGGAGGCCTCCTTGCGTCCCAACTCATTTCCGGTCTCATCGCGTTGTTCCATCCTGAGTTCACGCTGCACGCATGGCAGGTCTGGCTGATTTACGTCGCTTGGACTCTCATCGCCTTCGTCATCAATGCGTTCATGAACAACCTCCTCCCCTACGTTAATCGAGGCGCATTTATATGGTCCATCGGCGGCTTCGCGATCGTCTGCATCACAGCCCTGGCATGCTCGTCTCCCAACTACGCTTCCGCCGAGTTCGTCTTCACCGAGTTCATCAATGAGACGGGCTGGCCTGACGGCGTCGCCTGGCTCTTGGGCCTACTCCAGGGCGGTTTCGGACTCACTGGCTACGATGCTGTCGCGCATATGATTGAAGAGATTCCGAATGCGTCAGTCGAGGGCCCAAAGATCATGATCTACTGCGTCTGTATCGGAACTGTCACCGGCTTCATCTTCCTCATGGTCCTGCTATTCGTGTCCGGCGGCGACGCGGAAGCCATCATCTCTGCAGCTCCTGGCCCACTTCTACAGATCCTGTACAACGCTACAAGCAGCAAAGCTGGAGCCGCATGCCTCTTGATGTTCCCATTGATCTGCATTCTCTTCGCGGAGATTGCCATCATGACTACCTCTAGCCGCATGACATATGCATTCGCTCGAGATGGCGGCCTTCCATTTTCCAGGGTCTTCGCCAAGGTACACCCGCGACTCGGTCAGCCGCTCAATGCTCTGATCCTGGCTGCGACCCTCACCATCCTGTTTGGATTGATCTTGATCGGATCCAGTAGCGCTTTCAACGCTCTCATCTCATCCTCAGTCGTCGCTCTGGGCGTCAGCTACGCCATTCCCGTCGCAATCAACGTCTGCCGCGGCAGAAAGATGCTTGGACCTAGGTCCTTCGTTCTGCCTGGACCCTTGGGCTGGATCGCCAACTTGATCGGTATCGCATACACAATCATCACTACCGTTCTGTTCCTCTTCCCGCCTGAGCTCCCTGTCTCAGCGTCCAGCATGAGTAAGTTTCAGTATGAGTGTGCTTGGACCTCACTAACAACGCTAGACTACTGCGTCGTTGCTTTCGGCATCATACTGTTCATCAGTACCTTCCAATGGTTTATCGATGGGCGGAAGAACTTTACTGGACCGCGGGCGGATGTCGATCTCGAGATCTTGGAAGCTATGCAGAGCAACGAGCCAAACGGTGCTTCGCTTCAGCATTCTAAAGTCCCGGGTGACGATATCACCAAATAGTCCAGGTTGTCGCAGATAGCAATGTTGCATGTCTATACCCTTGCGCAATGCAATGTCTTCCCTATAGCGACAAGTCTAGATCCTGCTCCGTCATGACGCATTTAGTGAAACCACGAACTAACTCACCCACAACAGTATTGACACAACGTCATATGCAAGAGTTTAACCGCCACATTCACTACTCTTGGCATTGTTATTGATGACGCTAAATCTTCCGCACCTAATGCACCACATCTCGACCGCTTGTTCACAGCACCTGTTCCACTCACACCACTCTTTCCGATACGCTTTCCACGAATATCAACCCCATCTCCGACATAGTTCCACCAGAAAGCCACTCGCCAATAGCAAAGATGTTTAATCCCATCCGCAAGCTCCTCAATCTCTGGCGCGCCGCTGACGCGAGCGTCACCACATCGACCAACGACGCATCAACCAAGGACGTAGCGACTGAGAGCACAGCGTACCGCGCCGCCTGCAATCATGCCGCACCTCCTACACGGTATGCGAGTGGCGAGTTCAACACCACACCGTCTCCGCCGCCTAATGCTGCGCTATCAGGATATCTGTTCTCACAAGTGAAGGACATCAACACGTCTACACCGAGGATGAGGAACATCCCGCCACCGCCATTTCCCATGTTTAGTGCGCCGACTGGCAACGCAACCGACGACGCTGCTACCGCGTCGGACGACATCGATATGCCAGATGCTACGCCGATGTCGCCTCTGACGCCTCCAATAACACCAGCCCGTGATGGTGATGATATCCGACCTTCGGTCGAGACACCAGCCCAAGAAGACGTTCACGGCGCGACCGCCGAGGACGATGATACTAGCGAGCCACGCAACGACACGACACCACCTCCATCTCCGGAACGTGACAGTGTTCGTTCCCAGCCTCCGCGCCAACAGACAACATCCACACCAGAGCCCGCGCCAAACTGGCTAGACGAAATCGTCATCGAAGAAGACATCCCCGAGAACGCCCTCCCAATCGGCTACATGGGCACCTTCCGCGGAAGCCGCCACTTCATCCCCTCATACCCCGGCATGAAACGCTGCAGCAACCAAGTCCCACACCTCCTCCTCTGCGGCCACTGGATCACCAGCACAGAACCATGCGGCGGTAACTGCAAGAAGCAAGACCACAGCCACAAACAATTTAAATGCCCAACATGCAACGACATCGTCCGTAACATCCTCACGGGATCTTTCCAGCCCGCGGATTCGATGAGACTGAGGGAGTTCAGGAAACAGAAAGATATCAAGTTTCTGGCTTGCTGTGTCGAGGCGGTTGTGCGTGCTGCACCGGAAATTAAGAATGGGGTTACGGAGGCTGTGGCTGGGTTTCTCTGCAAGGATTCTGGAAGGGAGTGTGAGAAGGCGGAGAATCCGGATCCGGGGGGTCATGATACTATTGAGGAGATTGTAAGAGATATGCAGGAGCGGCATGAGCGGAGGCAGCGTGATAGGAGGGCGAGAGAGCGAGAGGAGGAGGTGAATACGCGGGAGAAGAGGGCTAGGGAGGAGGATGCGAGGGATGAGAATACCGATAAGGAAACGCACACGAACGAGGATACACCGGGGGGTCGTAAGCGTGAACGAAACGACGACTCCGCGGGTCACGACGAGACGCACGATACCTCACCCCCTACCAACCCCAACAAGAAGCGCAAGACGTCCCTAGAAACCCACCGCGAGCCCATCACACCATCTACCCGCGGCACGAAGCGTCGTTCCCCATTCTCGACCCCCTCCCCGTCTTCTTTATCCTCCTCCCCTTCCTCCTCATCCTCCTCCCCCACCGCCTCACCCTTCGCCTACCTCCCCTACTCTAAACCCCCCTCCCCACCATATCCATCACCACCCCCGAAGAAGAGGGTCTTCGAGAAGCCCGATCCCGCATTTGGTGAGGCCAGCTTCGTCATCGCGCCGCCTCATGTCGTCGGGCCGCTTATGCGGAAGCGGCATGCGGATGTTTATGTTGAGGGGGATATTGAGCGGGAGAGTAAGCGGAGGAGGAGTGTGGAGAATGAGGTGAATGAAGGGGAGGGTGAAAGGGGAGGGGAGGGGATGGGGAGCGAGAGGATGAGGGCGAAGAGTTTTGAGACTTTTAGGAGGGCGTGGGATGGGAGGGAGGAGGATGAGGAGGGGGAGTGTGAGTTGTAGGGCGAAGGGATGGATGTGTGGAGTTACTGGACTTTGAGAGGTGTCGATGATGGATATCTTTGATATCTCTGATATATGGTGGCGGCCATACTACAGACAGATTACTATTTTTTGGCGAATGTTAGGAAGCGATCGCTTTAGCAGTGAAAATACAAAATTCGAAAAGTGTCCAACATGATTGACAATATGTTCGGTTTGAACAAAACCCTCCGCAGACGGGTGGCATCTACATCTTCGCAGGCAAACGTCGATATCAGAGAGAATCTATGTTCAGAACCCTGGCACTTAGACGGTCACGATGCGTATGGGCTGACAAAGTCTGAACACAGGGAAGAAAGGTAAATTCCAGATGGCGTAACGAAAGAAACCACGTTGAGGGCAGAGACAGTCGTTCAGAGTAGAGGCGCAAGTCGAGGTATCCTTTCTCCTATCTCCGGCGAGGCATGCGGTCATTCTCGTGCTGTGTGCACCATGTCGGAAGCTTCGGAATGGTTCCGCGACAACGCAGAATGATTTGACTGCAATGCGATTACCATCGCCCGAAATACATTCGAGAAGATGAAAGCATATGACTACCAGTACTTACACACAATTCCCCTGATCCAACTACCGTGTATCGCACTTCGCCGCATACCCCACCTTTGCCGTCTTGTTCTTAGTAAGGATTCGCCAAGAAGCGTTGCAGATCCCTGTCACAGGCTCGGACAGCCCACCTAAAGCGCTCCAAAGCATGTCACATATCAGTCATCTCCGCCCTACCCTCTTGCGGCGTATATAGCTCCCCATGTGCGCCCCTCCCAATGTTTGCCCAGGACCTTCGAATCGACACTTCCCATAATGGCGCAAATGGCTAGGATACGGGCGGGTCCGGCCGCGCTGCGACGAGCGGCTGGTGGCAATCAGATGTCACGTCCGCTTTCACGACCGCTTGCACACCCGGCTACGCGACTGTGCATAGGCGCATTACGGACAAGATGCATTGCGACGAATGCTGCGATCCAGGAACCTAATGTGGATTTCCCCGCGAGTGTGCCTCCCGTTTCGGTGCCGGTGTCGTCGAAGGTGGATGAGCGGAGGAAAGCGATTAAGAACGCGAAACCGTTCTCAGATTTCTTGACGGATACGTTCAATCGGCAGCATGACTATCTCCGGATCAGCATCACAGAGCGCTGCAACCTGCGGTGTCTGTACTGCATGCCAGAGGGTGCGCTTCCAATATCCGTACAACAAAACAACCTGCTAACAAAAAACAGAGGGAATACCGCTATCACCCCCCGCCAACATGCTCACCACGCCCGAGATCTTCTACCTCTCCTCCCTCTTCGTCTCGCAAGGCGTGACCAAGATCCGGCTTACAGGCGGCGAGCCCACGGTCCGCCGCGACATCGTCCCGCTCATGCAGCAAATCGGCAGTCTGCGCCCGCGCGGCCTCCGCGAACTCGCCCTCACAACCAACGGCATCTCGCTGCACCGCAAACTAGACGCCATGGTGGAAGCAGGTCTAACCGGCGTCAACCTCAGTCTCGACACTTTAGACCCGTTCCAGTTCCAGATCATGACCCGCCGGAAAGGCTTCGACGCCGTCGTGCGCTCCATCGACCGCATACTCGAAATGAACAAGCTGGGCGCGAATGTTAAGCTGAAGGTCAACTGCGTCGTCATGCGCGGTCTGAATGAGCGCGAAATTCTCCCTTTCGTCGAAATGGGCCGCGAGAAAGATATTGAAGTGCGTTTCATCGAGTACATGCCCTTTGGCGGCAATAAATGGAGCGAGAACAAAATGATCAGTTTCCAAGAGATGCTAGACATCATCCGTACGAAATACCCCGGCCTAAGACCCGTCCCCGGACACAAAAACGACACGAGCAAGACGTACGAAGTGCCTGGTTTTGTGGGCAAAGTCGGCTTTATAACGAGTATGACGAACGATTTCTGCGGGTCCTGCAATAGGCTTCGCATTACGAGTGATGGGAACCTTAAAGTCTGTTTGCATGGTAATGCGGAGGTGAGCTTGAGAGATGTGCTGAGACAGGGTAATGGCGGCGAGCCTATTGATCAAGAAGCGTTTGAGCGTATCAGGCAGATTGAGATGGACAGACATGAGGGCCGGCTTAGCGACGAAACGGTGCTGGGCTGGGGCCAACGCGAGCGCGAACTTCTAGACGTTGTTGGAGCTGCTGTTAAGCGGAAGGCGGAGAAACATGCTGATCTGGACGACCTTGCCAACATGGAGAATAGGCCTATGATTTTAATTGGTGGGTGAATTTGGACTCCTTTTCTTCTTTTTCTCTTCACGAACAGTCACGGTTGGACGTCTGATGATACCACGGCGGTCACTGCATAGATGGCGTTTTGAGCGATTTCGTTTCTCTTGACTGCACTATCGCTTAGACTTGGATATCTGGCTATATACACCAATCACATATCCGATTCGTCCTCATCTGAGACCGTCCAGTCTGTGATGTATCTCGCTAACCTTATTCAGATAACACGCCCTTGTCCAGTCTGGATTCCCAATGGCCCGCGTTCCGAAGACGATCTTCCCACCACTCAAACCCCCTACTCCCCCGATCCAGCACACCTACCTCCCCACTCCCTTTCCTACCCAACCCATCCCACCCCACAACAACCTCCGTCCGCGCCTTCTCAACATCTCCCACCCCCTTCGCAAAGAAAACCTACCAACTCAAACGCCTCGCCAAAGCAAAAAAGCTCCTAAAGAACATTGACACATCAAGATCCACAGACGCCTTCGGCGTCCAGCGGTTTCTAGAGGACGTCGAAGCACCAAATGAATCTGAAAACCTCCTGAGGGATATCGAGAAGAAGATTGCTAATCTACATCGTCGGATCGTGGAGGTTGAGAGGGGGACGCCGCTGGCTTCTACTTCTAGTGATGGAACGCGCGCGCCGGTGATGGTGGTGGAGTTGGAAGAGACGGATTTGAGGGAGGCTAGTGCGGATGCGTTTGATGCTGTTGGTACTGCTGTTGGTAATGGGAACGATAATGCGACGGGACCAATAAAAAGGAAAGGCAAAAACGAGCGCGAACGAGCCCGAAGACGGGAACAAGAAAGGTATCGAAATGAAAAGATGAAAGAACTTGGAATGCTATTAGCAGAATACAAAGCCCAAGCCGACGTCGTCAAAGCGGAAGCTGAGAAAACGGCTGAGATGCGAAAGCGACGCGAAGTCGTCCTAACCAAGAAACGCTTACTACTTCGCCAACTACACCAACACGAAGAGGAGGAGCGGAGGGCTAGTCTCGTGCGTAGAACGAGCCAGGAAGATAGATCGGGTGGTTTGGGTGGTTTGCCGGAGGGATTCGAGCTTGATGATGTACTCGATGATGCTATGAAGAAGGTTAAGAAGATGCCGATGCATCCGCCGAGGGAAGAAAGGGTGTATAAAGAGAGCGTGGTTAAGGACGTGGATGTGCCGAGGGCGAAGAGGTTAGTTAGACCGCCGGGGTTGGGGGCTGTGAGTGTGTTGAAGAGGGGGGATGAGATTGTGGGGGATCCGATTATGGAGAGGGAACGAGATGGTGCTGGGGATGTTGGCGTGACTGAATCGACGGAGGAACAGGCGCAGACGACTACCAGCGAATCCACCGACGAGCCCACCATAGGAGAGCCAGTCGAAGATGTCGCCAGCTCCGTTGCAAACGCAGGAGATCCCTTCCCTCCCGCCTCTGGGTGGGTGGGAGAGGCGGAGGGGAGGAGGTGGGGAGGAGGAGGGGTGGAGGAGGAAATCATCAGCGGCGACGTCGTCTCATCCAAATCGCTTCAAGAAAAGATTCCGATGACTGCTAGCAGATCGAGCGACAAGTCCACACCACGCCCACTCTCATCTCCACCGGCCTCCAAGGATGACCTCCGCCTCCAAATCCCCCCCTCAGGCATCGTCCCCATCGACGCAGACTTAATCCTCTCCCTCGACGCCCCCGTCCCGCACCTCCAAGCCCAAATCCTCGCCCTCCGCAACCGCCTCAAATCCTCCTACCCCCGCATCGACAACCTGCCCTACGACGTGTGGACCTCCTCCAACAAACGCACTTTGCAAACCTGGCTTAAAATCTTAATCAGTCGGTGGAACGCGCGGTTTGATCATGTTGATGGTACTGGTCAGGTGGATAAGCGCATTGTGGATGAGAGGGTCAAGGAGGTACTGGATAGTATGGTTAGGGAACATGATTTGGGGAACGAGGCGGCGGAACGTATGGCGGTGAGGTGGCATGAGGTTTTTGGGGGGAGGGGCGGGATGGGGGGGGATGCGGAGGGGAGGTTGGATTGGGAGGAGATGGAGGCGGGGGGGTTGGGGTTTTTGGGTGTGGAGAACGAGGATGGTGGGGGTGAGGTGCCAGTGGGTGGGGTTGGTGAAGAGGTGGATGTCGAGAAGAAGAACGCTGTGTCTGCGCCTGTGAGGATGGCGGGGAGTGGTGTGACAACGAACGGGGTTATGGGTCGCAGGATGTACTCGACGTCGACGAGGAGGGGCTTTTGGTCTTGGTCGAAGATTCTAGGGACGGATGGAAAAGACGAGAAGAACGGGAAGAAAGAGGAGGTGAAGCAGGGACCCACGGTAGACGCCAAACCAGACAGCAAGACTCAGCCTAAGCCCGCTCCTACACCGAGCGCCGAACCAATCGCGAAGATCGATACGAAGATGCACGAAAAGACCAACGTCCAATCAATCGCCAAACCAGACGTCAAGCCCGACCCAAAGCGCCAACCCAAGCGCCCCGCAGAGTCCGTCCCACCAAAGCCCGACGCCAAATCCGACGCCAAAGCAGACACAAAAGATGACGCCAAACCCGACCCTCGCAAAATTAGAGAAGACTCACCTCGGATGCATCGGCCTCCCGGTCAGGGCGTAAGTAAGACCGTCTTGCGGAGAAAGAGGAGGCAAGCTCGAGAACGAGAAGGTGGGGAGGCACAGATGGACGTCCAAGAGCAAGGGATAGAAGATGAAGGACGACAGCCTGGCGCACATGAACATGCACAAGGACGAGCAGGAGAACTCGAAAGCCAACAGCCGCCCCAACAGCCGCTAACGTTCGAACGCGCAATCGACAACTTTCTGCAATACCGAGCGGAAAGCATCAAAAAGGACGAGGAAGGCTTACCTAAACCCGTACCACGGACCCACCAAATCGTTCCTAACCAAGACGCCGACACCGACACCGATAAACCAGCCTTCGTACGCGCCAAGAGACCCCTCCAGTCCCTACCTGAACTCAGACGCTCGAGGCATATTGAATGGAGAAAATTGGAGCGGACAGAATTGCCCGGGCCGCCTAGACATATTGTGAAGCCCCCGACAGACAACAAGGGCAAGGCTCCAGGAACGAAGTCGCTGCAAGACTTTTTGGATAGCATGAATGAGGTCGCTGCGCATTCGCCTTTTGAGGCGGAGCCGAGACAGCAGACTCGTCCTTTGTCGATGCTGGAGGGGGAGATGGAGGTACCAGTGCAACAACCATCCTCCGCTCAACAACCCGTTTCACAGACCAAACCCACCTCCTCACAATCCCAACTACAACAATCACAACTACAGCAATCCCAACCACCCCCCTCCCTCCCCCACCTCACACCCTCGGGATCCGCACACATGGTCTCCGTCTCCACCAAGGAACACACCACCCGCACCGCCATCGCCATCGGAACCGTGTATTTCACCAACGCCGTGCCCCTCCGCCTCATCCGCTCAAACGCCAACAAGAAAGGAGATGTGTTGGGTACATCGCGCATAGCCGGCATAATGGCCGCGAAAAAATGCCCAGACCTAATCCCACTATGCCACCCCATCGCTCTCACACATGTTAGCGTTGAACTCCGCCTTTTTGGTGATAAGTGGGATCCGCGGACAACAACAACAAAGGAAGGGGAGATGGAGGGGATTATGGGGGTATTGGAGAAGACGGAGGCGTTGGGCGGAAAGGAGAAGATGAGGAAGATGGGGAAGATGGGTTTTGGGGGTGTGAACATCGAAGCCAAAGTCCAATGTACAGGCCCCACGGGTGTGGAAATGGAGGCCCTTACGGCGGTTATGGGCGCGGCGCTTAGTGTGGTGGATATGTGTAAGGCGGTGGATAGGGCGCAGAGGGTGAGTGGTGTTAGGGTTGTTATGAAGGAGGGGGGGAGGAGTGGGGGGTGGAGGGAGGGGGGGTGGAGGAGTTGGCAGGAATGAAGAATGATGGAAGGGGGCGAGTGTAGGATTGTGTAGTTTGTAAGAATAGAGGGGTGTAATTATGTGTGGTTTAGATGTCTGTGTTGATGTGACACTCTCTACTGTTTTGACTGTTACTTCGGCGTTTAGGGATGCGTGTAGATGACTAGATACAGCATTGGCTTGGTGTTCTGCTTCTCTCTGCGCTTATGGAGAATTGGCAAGGTATCCAAGGGCTTCGCTTGCGAGTCTCTTATAAGTTTGGTGATACTTGGTTGTCTTGACTGTCCTAAAAAGGCGGATAAGACAGGAGAGCTATTGAGAGCGGCATTTACCTGTACATGCACGCCCTTCAAGGCCAAATTTGACCTCACCACAGCAGTGCATGAGTCACGATAGCTATTTTAATGCGAAAACCCCTCCAGACGATACTAATTGTAGTATGAATTGTGTAAAAACCTTTCTTAAAGGGCGTGTATATATAACTGATCAGTAATCCAAAGCGGAGTGTAGGCATGACTCCGTCGGCGCCTTTGCGACTCCTGTCAGCCTTGCGTACGCACACATGGCCATGCAGTCTGCCATGGATGGAGGGAACGCGCAATACCGGAAACTCTATCATGCTCTGCCATGGCGAATAGCTCGAGCTGACATGTGAAACAGACGCAGGTAAGGCACCAGACGATCTCAGGGCAGCGATAGTGGCAGCCCGATGTGTAGCGCGCCACGTGATTGGTCGTCGGACCCCATATGCCGTGTAGTCCGTGCGGTCCGGGCAAGGGTTCAAGCTAGTGACATCACTTTCTCAACATCAGTGGGGGATGGCCTCGAGACGTCACTCGCCCGCGCACCTCGACTGCGCGCGATCTCCAGCTGTTCTGCCGCTATGAGTATAGAGCCAGTCTTAGGACCCTGAGCGCTTGAAACTGCGGGTCCCAAAACAACGTGTTGCATGCTACCGTAGAGTTTGTCGGTGTGCCCTCTTTATAGGGCGCATCGCGCCTTCCCAAAGCAGGGTTTGCCTGAATTGCGCCAATTCAAGACGACGACTGCCACGCAATTTCCCTCATCACTGCCACCAAGCGCGCCATTATAGTCCTCTCTTCCCGCATCAACCGCACCTTCACCACCACACCGACCTCACCATATGCGCTACTAGACAGCGACCTCATCCCCGCCATGACCAGCGTACTAAAAGGCGGCTTCGGCTCGCCCAACGGTGCGCCATTAATCGCGACCAACTCCGGCACCGAGTTCGTCAACACCGTGTGCCCACTCAAGAGCGCCCTCGATGGCTACGACAACACGCTCCCCTGCAGCAAGCAGAAGATCCACGTGCCGCAGAACTTCGCCGACGCCATGGCCATCCGCGAGGAAGTCTACGGCGAGCAGGGCGTGCCCCTCGAAGCCGAGTTCGACGAAGACGATGCCCGCAGCTGGCACTGGGTCGCTTATGCTTCCGTCGCCACACACTCAACCCACCCTCCCAAGACACTGCGCCGCTCCGACTCTGGCAACACTCCAGCTGATGACGCCCGCCGCGCCTCAGCCACCGCCACCCGCGTCCCCGTTGCGACAATTCGCCTAATACCCCCGCCCCACGGTCCAAACAAGTACGTCGAGGACGACAAGACGGACAAGCATGCCGACGCAGACCCACCGGGTGAGGAGCAGGAGAGTACGCACCCGCCTGAGCCATACATCAAGCTCGGCAGGCTGGCAGTACTAGCGCCCTACCGCAGTCTCGGCCTCGCGAAGCTGCTCATCAACGCCGCCCTCGACTACGCGGGGTCAAATCCTGATCTCATCTACCGGCCTCCGTCTCCCACCGCGCTGGAGATGGCGCAGATACTCGGCAACAACAAGGAGCGGGAGATTACCTGGCAAGGCTTGGTCATGATCCACGCCCAAGCCAACCTGCAGAGCATGTGGGAGAAACACGGTTTCCACGAGGAGTTGAAGAATGATGATGGCGACGTCGAAATACCAGCAGAACCCCACTGGATCGAAGAAGGCATCGAGCATGTTGGCATGTGGAAGAGGCTGCCTATTGAGAAGAGGAAGAGGTTGTCGCTTTCCTCCCTGGAGTCGGGTTCTTAAAAGTTTCATTTCGTTTCCTTTTTGCTTACGCGTGTTTGATAGGTTCTGGCTGGGAGACGTTCCAGTCCCAAGGATCTACGTCAGGCCATGATGTTCACGCTCATTTCACGTACGGAGGATTCAACATTGCTTATACCCCACACTGCACGATTACGACGATACGGCCGGATTTCAACATTTATCTGTTTTTGCGAATAGAAGAGGATGAAGAGGGAAGGCAAGACATAGAGGCGTCATGGTACATGGCTATAGACTAGTAACGATCCTTCCACTTCTCGCATCTCATCCACGTATTCCTTTCCAAGAGTCCCGCGCCGTTTTCCCTTGTCTTTCCATTCGATTTCTGTCTTTTAGCGTACATTCACGTCTTGGTATTCCTTCACTAGCCCGAAATTGGAGAAGCGAACTCGGGTCCTACGCAGTGCCTGTTGGTATACATGTCGGCAACTTTTTGCCGTGCGGGTACTACTCGGCTGGTGATCAAGACGACCATGTAGGATACAGACAAATGACCATAGGAGTAAGAATTAGGCTTCCCGTCCCCCACCAGTGCGACCATGCACCGACCACACACCGGCCTCGTCACATTCACGGAACGTGGGCACAGTAGTACAAACGACGCACTAATATACTTCCCGCTGTCAGAAACATTTCACTAAATGTTTCCACTAGATCAAGTCGCAACTCGGTACGTAGTGGTGGAGGTGTCTTCCCTCTGCTTTTGTGCGTCTGTCATTCTGTCCGCTCATCCTATACTGCCGGCCTTATTATATTCAGGAACGTTGGCACAGTTGTACGAACGACACACTAAAGTTCTTCCGCTCTTGAAACCTTTCACTCGAAGATTCCACTAGATCACATCGCAAACAGAGTAATCTGGTACCTCGCATCCTTCCCGTCTCCTCCCTTTTCCTACCACGTCACATCACAACGGAAACCCGCTGCTGCTCCACTGCTTCACCAATATCACTTCGCACCACACTCGCTTCAATGTCCTCAGACACCCCCACCAAACCCGGTTTCAAGGCCCCTCTCCTCAAGCTCCTCCGCCTTTCCACTCGACCCGTCGTTATGCTTCCGTTCCTGGGTACCATCGGCCTCGTCCTCGTCATCACACTCACAGTGCTTCTACCGCAAAATGTCCACTCCATCGAAATTCCCGGCGCAGACAACAACCACAACTACCAAGTCGCCGTCTCCCACTTCCCCCTGACAGATTCGACAAAGAAAGATCCTTACCGCCCGGATGAAGACCGTAGGGTCATGGTCAGCTTGTACATGCCTGTACCCAGGAAACAGTGCTCTGCAATGGGCACGCAGGAGTACATGCCCCCGCAAACTGCGAAGATAGCAAACGAGCAGTTCATTGAAGGCAACGAGCGTGACGCAGGTGTCTTCGAAACAATGACATACTCGTCTTGCGTTGGTAGTAGTGGTCGTAGCGGCGGCGGCGACGTCAGCAAAGTCCCCGTCGTAGTCCTAGAACCACACGTCGACACAAGCCGACTCATGTATTCGACAATGGCGCGCTACATCGCCGCCAACGGCGCCGCAGTCGTAGTCATCGACCACCCTGGCGACGCGTCAATCGTCCAATTCACATCCTCGCGTACCCGCGATTTGGAGATAGTGTATAACAGCGGGACGGTGCCTTTGTCAAATCTCTCCCCCCTCACGCAGTATAACGAAACAGTAAAAGCCGCAGTCGAAACACGCATCTCCGACATCGCATTCACCCTCAGCCAAATTAACAGTACCTCTTTACTCTCGCGCCAATTCCCCTCCCTGCACTTCACGGGCTCTCTAAACACGGATGCCTACGGTATCATCGGCCACGGTCTCGGCGGCACAGTCGCAACCTCCCTCAGCCTCTTCCCCACCCTCCTCTCCGGCACCAAGTCTCCAACCCCAAACTCCCCCACCAACCTATTCTCAATCAATCTCTCCGGCACACCGCCCCCTCTCAACACCTCCACGCAAAACACCCCCCTCTTCTTCTTCGGCCGCGCAGACTTCCGCCGCGAACACGACATCAACTGGCCGACCACGTGGTCGCACCTCACGGGTCCGGCTACAGAATTCGATCTCGATGACTCTGCTATTTTCGATGCGAGCGACCTGCCTCTTATCGTTGAGCTAGCGCGGGAGGAGGGAGGGAAAGAGGGGGCGGTGGGAAGGGGGTTGAGTGGGAATAGACCGGCGGAGGGGGCGAGGGCGGTGATTTGCTTTTTGGAGAATATTGTTAAGGAGATGGTGGGGTTGGAGGGGCAGGGGAGGAATGTTGGGGATTGTATTAGGATGTTTGAGGGGGTTAGGCCGTATCCTGGGTATGGGAAGTAACGGGGAGATAATGCCATAGTACGCTGGTTTCGCTAGTAAGGGCTCGAGACTGAGTTTCTACGTTTTAGACACATGATTGTTGCACATACAAAGGTGGAACACTGCTGTTGTTTGGGAATGTTGCGCTCGAATTCAAGATCGCGCATAGTATTCATGTGTCGCTGGATCTGTCTGAGCGTCGCTATGTCCTATTCCTGCACTACCCTTTTTGAACGCTTCTTGAATGTTGTTTCAAACTGTGTGAGATACTCATCGAACGCGTCGGTGAAAGAATCGATTACGAAAGCCTCTACCGTATCGCGATTGGTCATTATGTAATCGGCCGTGCTTCCATACATTTTCGGTGCGCCAGGTCGACTGATGAAGTCCCCCAGTAACTCCCATACTCTAAAGGAACGGTTTGAAACTAAGGCAACTATAGGTTTGATTTTCTTGTCCGTACCGTTTTCGAGGTCATACTGACCGAAAATTGCCTTGAGCACCAGAGACAAACTCCAGGCCGAATATTCGAGTAAACAACTTTGAGCTGATGTTGGTTGTATGGAAAGATATCCCTGGTTCAGTTCGGCTATCCTGTCCCTCATCACTGCGTCCATCCCAAAAATCACCGCCATCTTTGCGGGAATATATGGCTTCGGTAGGAGGAAGCGCTTGACTTGCTGATGAGACTCCAGGGAAGGTTCGTGATCGGTCACTGTTGTCGTTGCGTATTCCAATGTAAAATCGTCCCTTTGTATCTCCAAGAGCGCCGCTCCTATGTAACCCAGCCGAAAAAATCGAAAATTTTCAGGCAACAGGCTGGATGTACGCGAGAACAAGCTCGACAGGCACACCTTCGCATCTATGTCATCCGATTGCCTTGCTTTGTTGGACCTGCGGGTCTTGGGGAAAATCTCGCGGTACATGTGGAATATGTGATGCTTAAAAAAGTCCAACAGATTCTTCTTCGCACGGATGTCTACCATGGGATCATCTTCCATATTGGAGATTCCCTCGTACCAAATGTTGAGATAAGTTACCAAATCGTCGTATCGTTTGGTAATGAAGAGTCTTTCGAAGCGCTGCAAAAGAAATCGATGACCAAGCCGGTGAAGACCGCGATAGAAGTCTAGTGCGTCTTTCAAGTATGGCCTGAAGAAGCATATTGCCTTCTTCCACCTGACCATGCTGAAAGAGTAACTCCAAAATATTGCCGGATCAGCAAGATCTGGGACGACTTGTCTGACGTGTAATGGCTCCAATATGTCTAAAAGATCGCGAACATGAAGAGCGAGTCTTGACGTGAGGTTTGAAAAAAATCGACTTGTGAAGCCATCAAACGTCAGAGGGGGCAAGCCGTCGTTCAATTCGAATTCCAGTGAGCGAGGAAGGCTGGATGCTAAGCTGGCGTCCATCTCCGAGACTGATAGTCCTCCCGGTGGTATATCGATGTAGATTGACATCTCAGAAAACTTTGTCCGGATGTTGCACGTAAACTTGGGTAGCACAGTGAGATCTGAGTACATCTTCAAGATGTTCTGGCACCGAAGGCAAACACCATGAGCACCGATCTCACACTTTGAACCGAGTCAGCGACAGATGCAGGCCTTTGCTGCCAAAGAAATTACATACCTTTCGTTTGCTGAGTCGACATCCAAAGCAGGACCATTCACTCTTACTCTGACGCTTACTATAGGTTCGTGGTTGATTGCTTTGTCGCTGACGGTCCGCTTCTGGGCTTGTATGGAACTGAATGTTGTCCACTGCCCCACCAGATCCTGTACCCCTGTCGTAAGGGCTAGTCGAGATGCTTTGTCTCGATTTGCCACGCATCGCTTTTCCTCTGATCACGCCCGTAGGGACTTTGGAGCCGATAGTGCCGGTCGTACCGACAGTGGTCGTGGTCGAATAATTGATCGTCTGAATTGGTGATAGCTCATGTGCTGTTGCGGCGAATGAATGATCAGCAGATGAATCAATGTTACCATCCCACAAAGGCTTTGCAGATGGATCTGTCGTATCGTGAACGTAATCGTTAGTTGCGTTCGTTGGTAGCTGGCTTGCAGTGATAGCCACCGCTCCGAAGTCGAGCAGTGGGAGGCTCTGTTGATTGGAATGAACTTGTGTAGTAGCAATGAAGGAGGAAAGATGGCCTCCTTGATCATATAGGCTCAACGTAGAAGGCATGGTGTCGAAATTGGATGCCTTTAGGGCCGTCGGAGCAAGAGATGATCGCTGGCCATATGCCGAGTGTTCCAAGGCATTGTAGTCGAGGTCTCGAGCGTTGTTGAAGGTATTGTACTGTTGGCCATACCCTCCGACATGATCGCATGCGGAGTTCGGATAAACGTTGACCTGCGTCAATTGCTGTGCAGGACACGAGCCGGCGTCGACCCCGTATGCACTGGTATTTTGGTCCAAAATCAAGCCGTGATTAGGTATCTGGGCAAGGCGAACGGGCACGTTAGAAGTATCGTAGACCCCAGCATATTCTGTCGCGGCCCCATCGGTCGCTACGTGTGGAAAGCTAGCCGGTGCCTCTTGTACGTGTGAGATCGCGGGAATCGCCTGCGCCTTCTCAAGAATCTGGTAGCGCGCTACTTCGTGCTGCCATTCTACTTCAGCAAGCCGTCGCTGGACGTCTTCAGGTAGGTTTGCCTTAATCGCTTGGGTGTGTCCTGCGGGTTCCGCAAGAAGCTGATCAGGTTGGAAGGGCACCAGCGATGTTGGCTGAGGGACGTATTGTAGGTCGATGCTCGTCGATGGATCATGCAACCCCAGTGCACTGCCTGGTAGCGGCAGAGGGTACGAAACGTCGCAGTGAGTGGGTGCTTGCTGCGGTATGTCGGGTGGTCGGTAGATCCATTTCGTAGTAGCTTCTTCGGGATCTGCGACGAACTCTCGGGATTCCATATTGAGTTGGCTCGCAAGCGTTTGCGATAAATGGGGTTCTCTCAGGCTCTTTCAGATAACGAGGCAGGAGCAGTGAGGTGCTAACAGTGTGTTGCACGGCCAGGGAAGTGTGCGACTGAGCAATAGTACTCAAAGAGTCGTGGTAGTGAGATGGAAGTCGACATGTTGATGAAGCGCTGGCAGCCCTGTGCTCTTATGCCGACGAGACGAACAGCGAATGTGTTGATTGACCGGCAGACAATGAGGGCCAAGGCTGAGTGGTAAAGGCTGGAGGACGTCGCCAACACCTTCCGCACCCCGAAGCGGACTAGGCTACGCCATCTCTCATGCGCTGACATCGCTCGACCCATGCTTCCGCACCTCGAAAAGTGCTAGCTTTGCTTTGCTTGCCAGCATCTCACACTTCCGCACCTCAATGAGGACTAGCAGAGCCTAGAGATGCATATTAATTTCGTTCCGCAAACACATCAGGATGTAGAAGACATCATACCGAAACCTCGCAGTGTCGCTGCGCAAAGCCGTGATGCCTCGACTAAACAATACTGTGCGTGTAGATAAAAATACATAAGTCGCATGCGATGCAGCCGGTGTTCTGGATAACAAACACCCAAGATTCAGCGCCATATATTCCCGCCCCACAGCCCGTAACAGCGCCACTCGGGTAAAACCACCAATACCCCAGTCATGTGGACCAAATCAGACGTGCTTGCCCTCCTCCAACTTCTCGTCACGATCATTCTCGCAACAATCCAAGCTGTATGGTGTTTGACCATTCGTCAAGGTGCGCGTCTTGTTCTTGAGCAAGATTCGATGCTGACAGCACTCAAGTCGCCATGCGACGTAGCGCGCGCAATCCAGCCTGTCATGATAGGAATGGAAGTAAAGACCAAATGCAGCCACAGCCGCAGCCACGAACGCTGTCGAAGCCAATCCAACTGCCACTGCCACGCAAGTGAACTTCATTGTTGGGCACATGCCATTTCGGCCTCATCATAGCGACTGCAAGACGAACGAAGGAGATGATGATGGAGACCTTGGAACCATTCTCACGGCGGCAGCGCCTTGGCTAGCACGAGTCAGTATTCGAGTCCGTCGCATCAGGAAGAGGAAGAAGAGAACATTGGACAACAATGATAACGTTGGATTGTATTTTTACTGATTTTAGCATTTCGTTCGATTGCGCGCAAACCCATTCAAACTGCCCTATGGCCCTCTCAACAGTGGCGAGAAGGGAAAGAACAAGGGAAGATTATCCATCCATGAATTGACGTCGATGAGCAAGAAATGAAATTGAGCGTTTAGCATTATAGCCATCTCTTACCCAAGACACATAAATAAGCCAGCATTAGCCACGCCGTATACACTAGTGAGAACAAAAGATATCGAAACATCGAAAGCTTCATCATCATTACCGCTCAACCCCCAAACCCCATCCACCTACAGCCTCGCCGACTCCCTTACCTCCAACCCGCCCGCAATCCCGCGACTAATATAATCACTAATCGCCATATTCGTAACCATAGGATTAACCCCACTCGCACTAGGAAACACACTCGCATCCGCCACGTACAGCCCCTCCGTCCCCCAAACCCTGCCCTGTGGATCAACAACCCCATCCCTCTCCCTCGCACTCATCCGACACGTCCCCATCTGATGCGCAGAAACATACACACTCTCCGGGCTGGGCAACCCCCTTTGGCGAATCTCATCCAGCCAAGCCACAAACTTGGGATCGTTGATGCCGTCGCCGGAGCCAGATGAGGTAGAGGGATCGCGGATAAACGGCCGCATGTTGGGTATAACGGTGAAGATCTCGGATGCGCCTTCCACATACTGTATCTTCGCGAGCGCAATAACACCCTCAAGCACATGTCTCTTATCGTAATTACTCGTCTGATACGAGAACCTGACACGTCCATCCACCGGATCCGGATACACCCTCCCCGTATCCCTATCCCGCGCAATGGAAATATAACCAACCATGTGTTTCAGCTTCGCAGCATCAATCTTATACTGCATCGCCGACTTCCAATCTACCCACATCAGACACGCCGAGGGAACCATGTTCGTGGCTTCGAGCTTGACGCCATGGCCTGCGTTGTCCATGTTTTCGAATTCCGAGACTACGGAGGTCAGGATGCCGCCTTCCCATGGTTTTATCTCTTCGGTGTGGTAGGCGCCGAGGAAGGTGACGGGGTGGAGGTAGAGATTCCGTCCGATTTGAGGGTTTTTGAGGCCGGAGCGGAGGAGGAGGAGCGGGGATTGCATGGTCCCGCCGGAGACGACGACGCGTTTGGCTTTGATGAGGACGCGGCGGGTGGTTAGGGGGGTGTTGGAGACGCCGCCTTGGGCGTCGCGCGAGGTCCAGGTGCCGAGGACGCCGGTTGCGACGCGCTTGCCACTTTTGTTGGAGAAGATGATTTTCTCAGCGTGGAAGCCTTCGATGAATTTCGCTCCTGCGCGGGCGGCGTCCGGGAGGAAAGACACGACCGGGCCCTGCTTCTCGCAGGAGCCGCAGCCGAAGTTGCAGTAGCCGCAGTAGTGTTGCTGGCCGCCGGTGTTTTGAGGCACAGGCGCAGCGTTCCAGCCGAGTTTGCGGGCGCCTTCGAGCAGGATCTCGTTGTTGCGGTTTTGCTTGATGTTTTTGTCTGAGACGCCCATGCGGTCACAGACGCGATCGAGCGATTCTTGGAATTGCGCGGATGTGAAGAAGGGGAGGCCGCGGGCTGCCCATTCGCGGCGGACGTAGCCTTGGGTTTGGAGGGAGGCAGACCAGTTTACTGTTCCTCCGCCGCCGAGGGACTGGCCTGCTACTACGCTCACTGAACTGTCGTCGGATGTTAGGAATGATCCGCTCATGAAGAGGTGGTGCCAGCCATCTAGTTCGGCCATGGGGAAGTGGTCTGGAGTCCAGTGATATGCCTTTTCTACTATCAACACACGATGTCCGGCTTCAGCGAGGTTCTTCGCCGTCACGCCAGCACCACACCCACTACCCACGACCACCACATCTGTCTCAATAATCTCAGGCTCGTCACCTGGCGGTATCTGGATAAACTCATAGTCGAAGCCCTTTCCAGGTCTCATACCAACAGGCACGCGTGGGGCGCCTATCACACGTCTCAGCGAAGGCGACGTCTTGATCCAAGCCTGCTTAGTGATAATCACCAACGAGCGGCGCAGTTGGCGAAGCGGTCCCAACCGCGCGGTAGCCCAGCCCTGGATAATCGACTCCCTTACATGGGCCGGTTGCTCGCTGATTGGCGTGAAATAACCCGTCAAAGCCAGTGACCCCGCCCGCGTGTTGAGGACATTCAACACCATGCACAGGTCCTTTCTCTGGTTCTGCGGCATGTACATGGCGAAGACGCGCTGCAGCTCCGCTCGAAACGCCGGATCCTGACTCGCATAGTCGTCGAGATACTCCTTCACCGCCGTCTCCGCATCAGGGTCGTTTCCGGGCGCTAAAGCCCTCAGCTTGCTGACCGCAGCCGAGTAGTCGGTGTCGGTTGCGGCGAGTTCAGTCTGCGTCTTCGCCGTGGATATGGGCTTGATTGCTGGGATGACCGCATCCGTGATAGCAAGTAGCGTCTTCCATTGTTGAGGCGTGAGCGGATCCTCAGCTGGGAGCGGAGGCAGCGGAGTAGCTTTCGGCGAAACGGGCTCAGTTGGGAGTGTTGTTGACATTTTGCCACGTATAGTTTGGTGTTCAGGGATAGCCTGGATGTCGCGCGTGGACCATCAAAGGGTCTTGAAGGTGGAGCTGTCGGGCATGCTAAGGACGCAGGCGTCGTTTTGTTTAGTTTCCAACCGTGTCCACTGCGAGAGATGAAGCAACTTCCCCCGCGCCACATGCCGTGCCATTGTTGACGTCTGCTAGCCCGTGGCGGTTCGTGCCTCGGTTCAGAAAACAAAGTTCATCGACGTGTCCCGGCGAAGGGTTGCCAAGGCTGCCGTTGCTCGTGGATGTCGGAAGGACAGATTCGCCGGAGCCGCCATTGGACATCTTTCAAGGGCTATAGAGGACGTCAGGATAGGCTAAATCCTGTGATGTCTTGCATTGATCTGCGCGGCAGATCTCAGTCATAGTCATGTTAGCTGTCGATGCGTGTGGGCCGTCGCGCAACTCAGCGTCGTAGACTGCGGATCTCTCATCAATGCATTGGAAGAGCGTGCCCATGTGATCCGAAGTTCTGGCGGTATCGTGAGGTTGCAGTGGCCGGCGGCGCAGTGTTAGTGAGGCGAATCCCCGACGATGGTGGGTGGGTCGGCTCGGTCTTTGAACCAGGATGAGACGGGCGCTTCTTCATCTCGGCGAATCTGGCCGGCGTCTCCAAGACTCCAACGAAGGGAGTCGCTTATCTCTGGATCTAGCAGGAGTACTCCAACTACGCTTTCGCGCCTATGCAGCTGGACTACATTGAAACAACTCGCAGCGTAGGATCCGCACCTAGGTAATATGAGATATCTGCCGGCCAAACTTCCATCTCTTACGCGTACCTACGTTTTTACCCTTGCGCATGGTGTAGTCAAAAGAAACTACCGACACCCGTGCAATCTTAGAAGCTCGAGCGAACTTCGTGCGAGGCAAATCCCACCAAGGATGATTGCGCAACGTCCCCACGAATCCAATGATCCGGTTGAATCCATCCGGCAGGATCTGGTCGGTGCGCCTCAGGAACATGCAGGGGACCGACTAGGACGCCGTCTGCTACTAGGCGAGATGAGGGTTCTCCAAGGTCGCTGTCTATCAAGACACTTCTTCAATGCCTTTTTTGGGGTGGTTCCGATGGGAGCATTTGCATTCGAGTCTCGATGTCGGTCCCAATAATTCTTTCTTGGAAAGCAAGCGGCCTTTGGTGTAAGGTACTGAAGGCTCGCTAGTCAAGGCGCGTACGTAGGTGCTACCTAGATAAACTAAGATCTTGACTGCAGCTTGAAGCTGTGGTGGGTTTGACCGCTACAGAATTAGGTGCTCGGTCTTCACGACTTCGCATTGAATAATCCTCTACCGAATTCTCTCCAACTTAGCGTAATTCTTCACAATGCGTGCAGTCTCCTCGTCCATCTCCCTCTGCGACAACTGCCGAAAGGGTGGATGTTCTTCTTTATAACGCTGAATCTGCTCGTCAAGGCTCGCCAGCTGCTCATCTAGCTGAGCAATCTTGGCCGTAAGGTCGTTAATCTTGTTCGTGCAGATGATCTTCTTATCCTCCTTCTCCCTATCGAACATATGCCTTGTCTCTTGATTGAGCTCAGAGAGCTCTTGTATTGTGGCCTTGAGGTCACCCTCGTACTTGGCCTTGAGGTGTTTGCTCATACTCGCTTCCCCAATCAAATACAAATGATACTGATCAGACATGTCTCTGCAGAACATGGCGAAGATAATGTAATGCGAGATGGTGGGTGGTGGGTGTAGCTTTGGGAAGTTAGAGATCGTACGGTTGGTGAGCATGGGTAAGAGGCTGGGGGGGATGTGACGTAGTGACCCAAACACTCCAACAATCACATGACAGATGTTCTTCAGCTTCACCGTCACTTTTACTTCGGTGCAAAATATGCCAAGACCGCAAGACTTGGGACGACGAATAGTGATGCATAGCCGATGGAAAGATGCATTCGAATTCGTGACTTCATCTTGGACGTCTGCAACTGTAAAGGTGACGAGGACGTACCGTGCAATTACACTCGGCATTACCAGGACTCTAATCAGAGTTCAGTCACCAGAAACTTTGTTCAGACTCCTCGTGGTTCTCTCAGGAAAGTTGCGGATACGGTGGGGAGTCTTCGGATGTCAGAGTCGCAAGGTTTGGTACGATGTCAAAACCACAACCGGGGATCGCTGCAGCGCTTCACGATGCACGCACGGGCACAACATCAATACGAACAACGACGCTACGCATACGCCCAAGTGGGTACGATTCCATTAGACCGTCCCACATCATTCAAGATCGTGAGCTCTGGCCGAATAGCCTCAACTCATAGCAGCGCTTCACGATGCACGCATGGCATGGTGGCCTCACCAATACGAACCTACAGACTTCGCACACCCAAGTAAGTAGATTGAATTGACGGCCACCACCACCCCTCCACCTCCCCCGCCCACCATCCCAAGTCTGGCCGAATAGCCTCAATTCCACTTGGAGTGGAGCATAATATATTGGAAAATTGCGTCGCGCGCGCCTTGCTCGCGTGGCTACAGAGTGGATGAGGTGCATTGAATTGAATACAATAGTGTGGCCAAATGCCCCGCCAGTTGTTGCAAGCTGGCCGTACTTGAGCGGGATGGTAGGGTGTGTGGCGCCTCTCGCGGCATACTTGCCTGGTCGTTTAGCTGTGATGTCAAGGCATGTCTATCATGTCTATCAACGTCCATCACCGCCTCTTCTTGCGTTTGCGCAGGGTGTCGCAATCAAGATATGGGGTGAGTGCTATGTCATCACTGTACCGACGCCCCCAGGAAATGAGTTCACGCTTGACGCAGCAGTTCCGTCCTCGGAGAAGGTTGAGGCGTTGCTTTTCTTTTGCAGAGGCCGTGATTGGTTAGAGATAAGAGACGCCCAAACGGGCACAGTGGGGCCCAACGGCTGGCCGCCTCGAGAAGAGGCGCAACGGTCGTGGTGAAGGAATGAGGGTTGCGCTGGGGAAGGGGGAAATGGGGCGTTCGCGTAGAAGATAGAGCCTATTCTCAGCCTGGGAGACTTGTAGTTGTCGAGTACTTTCAAGCAGAGTGGGAGGGCAGCGTGAAGACAGCGGGCTCGATGCGACGGCCATGTTACAATTAGAATCTTCCAAATGGCCGGTCGTAGCCCGATGATACCCTGTCGTTCGGTCGGTCGCCAAGGGTGCAGGCATCCCCCTTCGGGCATGGCCGCCCATCCGTCAGTTCGCTGCTGGGAAGAGGTCGCTGGAGCAGCTGGCGGGCGACAACTTAATTCATCCTGTCCCCAGAGCCTCACCCCAGGTCTCCTCCGCACTCACGCGACACCGCTGTTTCTTATCTACACCTATATCCGCCTCACTCGACGCATATCACTCACATATACGACGATTACCACGACCCCGACCATATTCACTATCATGTCCTGCTAAACCACGGTCGACTGTTGGCCCCGGCGTCTGTTGTATCACCGCCCTCGTCTCTTATCGCCTGCACGTCAGCTACCAATTGACACGCACCCTCACCACCAACACGTCCCCAACCGTCCCCAAGGAGCCGCACGCGTCCTGCTGGCCTGTCAGCGTCGTCTGCACCCGTCGCACCACTGCAGAGCCACTGATAGCCTCCCGCTCCCAAAGGCCTGTATCAGACACTCCAGCGCACCAATACCAGCGCAGCACTTCACCGCCTGCACCACGTATTATACGTCTCTCTCGACGTCTCGCCAACCTCAACCTCATTCCGTCACCATGGCCACGACCTTCTCGACGGCGACTGCGATCCCGCAACACGCACCCTACCAGCACCACGCCTACCGCAAGAGCACCCACTCGCAGTACTCGCCCACCCATTCCGGCGTCAACACGCCCGCCAACGTCTCGCCCACGTCGCCGCGCACCACACACCTGCCCCTCGCCCGCCACCAGGGCATCTACCAGCCGCGCACCGCCATCGGCATCCCCGCGGCGCTGCGCAAGACGGAGAAGCCCAGCAGCAAGTCGCCGCCCAAGGTCGACTCGGGCGTGTCGTCGCCGAACCAGGGCTGGTCGGCTGGCACGTACGGGTGGGTCGCCAACGAGGGCAGCGCGACGCCCGTCTCGCAGATTGGCAATGAAGACATGCAGAGCCTCTACAACGCCGAACCACTGTCGCCCGTCGCGGGGCCAATCACACGCAACCACTGGCAGGTATGTATTCGCGCCTTTCCTACTTGTCCGCTATGCCGCTGCTAGCCTGTCCGTGCTTCCCTGTCGCGTGCTCACCTGCGCTGCGAGGGGACCGTCTTACGTACATGGTCCGGTCCCACGGCCTAGCGTGCGTTGGTCTGGCCTCCCGCTGTCTGCAGAGCCGACATGCCGAGCCCTCCAATTCAGCTCAACAAGACGCCTGGGGGGCAAACTCGGCGGCCAAGGCCGATCATGTTGTGCATGTCGCCTTGATGGGCTTCGGATAATTTCCATCGTCTTGCCGGCATTCACTGCCTCTGTCCAGACCTGCACGTCGTCCCCCACGCTAGACCTTTACCTACTCTTTTACCCGATGCAGGGCTGAAGTCCGGGCTGTTCGGGCTAGCGACACCTGTCCACTTGTCCACAATTCAGAGTTGCCGTTGCGTTCAGAATCCACACTAACTCGTCCCTAGGCCGACGGTTCCACATCGGTGTGCTCGGCATCCAGCTGCCAGGAGCCCTTTGGCTTCTTCCAGCGGCGCCACCACTGCCGCAAGTGCGGCGGCATCTTCTGCTGGCAGCACTCGCGCAACAACGTGCGTCTCGACGAGCTCGCCCGCTTCCACCCAGAAGGCCACTGGCACCGTGCCTGCGACCGCTGCCACAGCTCCTTCCGCGAATGGGAGCACCTCCGCTCCAGCCGCACAAACAGCGAGAGCTCCGATAGCAGCAACAGCAACAGCCCCGCTCCCGCAAAGTCCATCGAGACTCCTGCCCCGGCTAAGCGTCCTGAGAACACGCGCGTAGGCAGCCTCGCCCAGAGCTTCCAGGGCACATGGAACTGGAGCACTTTCTAAACATGGGCGTTTGCTTGTCATCGCCGCACACAACTTCCTTCATATCTTCATGACACCTGGACGGACGGACGGACGGACGAACGGATCTTCCTGCTCCTGGCGTACTCTCTTTTGATGATATCCGGAGGGCCCAGTATTGTCGTAACGGCACTGGTCCCATTCCACCTTTTCACTTGCTTCGACTTGGACACGAAGCCTTTCTGCGTCTGCATCAACTAAACTGCATAATACCGGCGTCCTCTCTTTGCTTTTCCCAACATGGCGTCCTGATCAATCACGGGGGTGGTCTGCGTGTGTTTTGTCTCTTGTCCTTGCGATTCAGCGTTTTCCTTCGACAACTTTAGAGACTTCCTTTGTCTCTCCCTCTCTGTCTGGATCTCCCTTTGTGGAGTCAACAGAGATGTTACTGTGTTTTACGGCCGACAAAGATATCCAGAATAATGATTGTTGGAGATGTCTTTCTTTCGATGGATCTGTGGTGGTGGCGGCACGCAGTGATGTGCGACGGACGCACGTCTGCCCGAGAAGGCGTGCGTCCATCGCACATCACTGCGTGTCGTCATGACCTGGACGGCTCTGGGCGGTTGGCTGATGGTTGTTCGGCTGGGTTGTATGTGTTTTATCATGTGGTTATGATATGCGAGCAAGATGGTGGTTGTAGTTTGTTGAGATGAGATGAAATTACATTGGTATATTCTGAGTATTTGAACAACTGGATGTGTGAGATTATCAGTGGGTGCTGGGCACATGCTTGCATATGTAGTAGATGCGGCGCGTGTGTTGTGATGTGGTACCCTGATGGCGTGATGTCGGTCAGGGTTTGGTCGGGCGAGGCTAAGGGCAGGTGTTTGATACGTGGAGACCGCTTGAGGATAGTGTACCATGTAGCTGGAATTGACTGGTATTGAACCCAGTAGTTGAGAACTATAGACAATGTTTGCGTATGTGTTATATGTTAGCATCTCCCTTGCAATGTTCCGAGCATGGATGGAGCCGTAGAAACATCTCCACCAACCTTCCTACCCCCGCATCAAGAACTCCAAACACAGAAAGGAAGACAGTGAGACAAGAACAAGTATACATGAATAAGGAAGAGAGAAACAACATTCCATACCACAAACGTCGTCCATGACTCTTCCTGTGCTTCGTTCGCACAACGGTGCCATACGGAGATAGCCCGCACTCCGATTGGTCAGATGCAGTGGAGTGCTGATGGCGTTTTTTTGCTGGACGAGCACGACGTTCACTGCATACTGCACGAGTCATCGAGGCATCTTGTGAGATACGCGAGACTGCCTTGTTTATCTCTTGAATTTGTGCGCCTGATCTAGTCTTACTCGAACTCTGCTGGGATTTACGGTCGCACGACACTGTTACACGCGCTTCACTTGCCGGCTCGACACCTGCACGACTTCGCTCAACCGATCTCGCTGCGCTCGACCTCTCTTTGTTCGACGTCCGTCGCCATACGTCCTTCTCTTCTCCAAGCTGTTGGGGGCGCTGTCGCCCCCAGGTTAGCGAGGGGATTCACGAATCGATACTGCGCGAAGATGGCGACTATGGCTCAGACAGCGGTGCAGGATGGAGAAGTGGCGGGGGTTCTACACAACACTGGTAATGGGATGACGCAACAGAATGGAAGCAGTAATGGAGCGGCCCAGTCGAACGGAAAGAGGAGGAAACTACACGGGCGCGCATTCTATGAGAGTATCGGCAGTCCAAAGCTCATCCTTGCGCCCATGGTGGAACAGTCAGAGTTCGTATGTCTCTTCGTCTCTATACGACTCGGCGCAAAGACGATGGCTAACATCGACTGCAGGCATGGCGACTACTCTCGCGCTCGTTCCTCCCCGAATCACAGCAAAAAGACCTCCTAGCATACACCCCAATGTTCCACTCGAAGATGTTCGGCGAGAAGAGCAACTACCGCGACGCCCACTTCCAACCCCTCAAGTCGACTATCCCCTCACCCAGCGACGACTACCACCTCTCACAACTACCCGAATCGGAAAGACATCTCGACGGCAACCCCGCGTTCGACAGACCCCTCACCGTACAATTCTGCTCGAACGACCCCGAAGACTTTCTGCGCGCGGCGAAACACGTTGCGCCCTTTTGCGATGCGGTTGATCTGAATCTGGGATGTCCACAAGGAATCGCAAAGAGGGGGAAATACGGCGCATTTCTGCAGGAAGACTGGGATCTGATATCAAGGATGATACGCAAACTGCACGAGGAACTGGACGTCCCAGTCACAGCAAAGATGCGTGTCCTCGAGACACCTGAAAAGACACTGGCATATGCAAAGACACTTCTAGACGCAGGCGCAAGCATCATCACAGTACACGGCCGCCGTCGAGAACAAAAAGGTCACAACACCGGCCTCGCAGATTGGAAGATGATCCGCCAACTACGGGAGAACCTTCCTAGAGAAACAGTCATCTTCGCCAACGGCAACATCCTCCAACACGAAGACATCGCCGCGTGCCTAGAAGCCACAGGCGCAGACGGCGTCATGAGCGCAGAAGGAAATCTGTACGACCCTACTATCTTCGCCGCTCCACCGCCACCCGGCCAGGAAGGACGCGAATACTGGCGCGGCCGCGATGGTAAGGGTGGGTACAGGATGGACGCTGTGATGAGACGGTACATGGATATCATCCATAAATACGCCCTCGGTCAAGACCCGCCACAACGGAAACCGCTCTGGATGCCCGGCGACCCCGACGTCGACGTCGAAGCCTCGTCAAAACAACCGCAAGAAACAGCCGATTTCAACACCAACACCAACACGGATGCCGCCGAAAACGGCAAACGCCCCGCCGACCAAGGCGAAAGCCCGCCAAAGAAGAAACAAAAACCATTGTCTAAAGCTGCGAAGAAGAAGGAAGCTAGTAACCCCAATCTCACGGCTATGCAAGCTCATCTGTTTCATCTGTTGCGTCCGCTGGTTTCGAAACATCATAATGTGCGAGATGCGCTCGCGCGGTCACGGACGGGGGATATTGAGGCGTTTGAGAATGTGTTGAGGCTTGTTGAGGAGGCGGTTAGGGAGGGGATTATGGGGTATGAAGAAGAGCATGCTAATGATTCTACCGAACCGACCTCCACAACGACGGTGAAAGAAGAGACTGTGAAAGAAGAAGAAAATGGTGCAAAAGAGGAGGAGGAGCTAGATCCTTACGAGAGTTCTCTCGCAACCGTCGCACGTGTCAAAAGACCGTATTGGGTGTGTCAGCCGTATGTTAGACCACTGCCCAAGGAGGCGCTGGAGAAGGGGAGTATGACTGTTAGTAAGAAGGAGAGGAAGAGGTTGGAGGAGGAGAAGGAGAGGGCGGAGAAGGCATTGAAGAAGGGGGATGAGGAGGTCAAGAGTGTGGGGTTGGTGCCGGGGGGACGTGTTGAGGAGAAGGTTGTGGGTGGTGGGCATGGTGGGGATGGGAAGGCGGATGGGGAGAAGGATGGAGAAAAGGAGGTTGTTGAGGAGCCTAGGGATGGAATGGTCTGTGGATGAGTGTATAGGTATATTGAGGGGTAAAGGAACGAAGACGGGCAGAATATACCCAAATGAATCTCGACATGACAGTTCAGTATAGGATGGTTTCTACATCACTATACCGTCGTTTATGATGCCGATATGGGCGCCATTAGTCGACATGCTCGACCGTCGCGACTCACTACGTCACATCCATATCACCAACGCTGTATCAACAACACTCCTTTGCCAACTATACTAGCTAAGCTAACGATCCCCATCGTAGTCTCACGAATCCATTCAAAGCCCAAACCACTTAAGATCCTCCGCCTCATGCACCGGCACAGTGTGACCAACGTTAAGCGCACTATACCCCACCAGCTTCGTCCCATCCCCATAAACCATCTTCGTATACCCGCTCTGCGGGCTATTCGTCTCGTTCCTGCTAAACTGCACACCCAGCAACCCACTCCACTCCTTCAACTGCTCGCCCAAATTAGGGATCTTGACGAGCGAGTCAGCGGTCCCGTGCCAAGTCGCCATGCGCGGGTACGTGCCACTGTAACCAGGATACATGGCTTTGACCTGGGCTACCCATTCCGCTTGCGTCTTTATGACTTGCCCGTTTGCGCAGCGTGGGTCGGCGGTAGAGGGCGAGGCGCCGGGACTGCCTGCTACGCAGCCTGCCGCCACACCAGAATAGCAGGAGCCTGCGGCGATGACGTCTGGGTAGGTCGCCATCATTACGTTGGTCATCATGCAGCCCGAGCTGCTTCCTGTCACAAAGACCTTTGTGGGGTCGGCGTTGTACTTTTTGATGGTGTACTGTATCATGTTGTTTAGGCCTTGGTTGTCGCCGCCGGCATCGCGGGAAAGGCCTTTGGCGGTGTTTACTTCCCAGCAGTTGTTGTCTTTTTTTGTGGAGGGGAAGATGTTGATGAAGCCTTTTTGGTCGGCGAGGGTGTTGTATTTTGTGGATTGGGCGTAGGCTTCGCCGGTGCCGCCGCAGTAGTGGAGCTGGGGATGTGTTAGTGAGATGGTTCGTTGCAGAGTGGATGGGATGGGATGGGAAGACGTACGGCGAGGATGATCGCTGGCTTTTCCGCAACCTTGGCTGGGACGTAGATGTTCATCTGGAGGTTGGATGGGTTGGCGCCGAAATCGTTGACGCGGGTGAGGGCGCCGTTGGCGGTTGCGCAGAGCGCTGCGATGCTGCCGAGTACGGAGGTGGAGAAGTGCATCGTGAGTGTCGTGCGTGTTCGCAGCAGCACAATTTCCTGCACCCTCCTCCCCTTCTTATACGCACACCACACTCATCGCGCGATCGTCACCAGAGCCAACCATTTCAAGCCTGTTTCCCCGTGAATACTAGCCGACATAACCCTCTGTTAAAGCCCCAATCTAAAAGCTCCGGCGCGAGGAGGCACGGCAATGCGCATGTGAGCAGCATCAAGTTCGTGCGTCCCAAGGTTGTTTCAAAACACATCTCCCTTCTCCAATGACGAGCAACTGAAACGGCGTACTTGCTGCTTTCGTCGAACACTGGAGGCGTTTGTTCCCACTGGGGTTAGCCACCAGGGGGAATGATGTGGAGTAACTGTGCGGGATCAGGGATCTTGGATCATTACCCCGGATGAACTCCCGCCATGTATATTAACCTACTACCGAGCTTTGCTCCGGGCGCACGTAACATGTGGCATTGCCTACTTTCGCATCGACGTCATGTGTTATGCTGGGTTGGGACGGTTACCGCGAGTGTTTACCGGGCGCTGACACATGACTGCATCCTTTCGGTTTGTCATTGAGCTTTATGGTGTCCATATGCCGTCGCGCATCCCGACTTCCGTTCCTGGAGCCAGCAAATATATGGACGTTGTATGTTTTCAGGGCCCGCAGGTTGCGCAATAACGGCACTAAAGATGGGGGCTGACATGCGTTAGTACGAGGACGTGCCAGCGGCTCCATCCGGAATTGCGTGAGACCGAAGTAGTGCAGAGCAGCCACAACCAAAATACGTTTCGAAATCATTGTCCAATTATTCTATCAAACACGCAAATGCTACTGGGTATCTTTCTGCGCCGTCTCTACAAGTTAGGGTGCGCCTCCTTCCACTCCTTGCTGAAAGGATAGTCAATGTATCCCTTCTCGCTCTTCGGAACGTAGAAGGTATCGCGGTCGTAAGGAGTAAGCTCAATACCCTTCTCTATCCGGAAAACGAGATCGGGTGTGCTGATGAAGTAGCGCCCGAACACCGCAACGACATCGCGGTCCTTGTGCTCCTCAACAATCTTCTTCGCGTCCTCGGCCTTGAGGCCACCGGCGATGAGCAGCTTGCCGGAGTAGTGGGGCAGCAGGGGATCGAGAGAGTCGTAGCCCTCAACGTCTGCGTTGCCGGATACGCGGGCCTCGACGAGATGGAGGTAGGCCAGGTTGAATGCATCCAGTCTCTTCATGATGTCTGTGAACTGCGGGAGGGGGTCCTTCATCTTCATGCCTTGGAACTCGGAGAACGGACTCAATCGGATGCCGGTCTTGTCGGCGCCCACCGCCTCCACTACAGCCTGGGTGACCTCGACACAGAACCTGGAGCGGTTCTCGACGGAGCCGCCGTAGGAATCTGTGCGCTTGTTGCAGGTATCTTGCAGGAATTGATCGATGAGGTAGCCGTTGGCAGCGTGAATCTCTACACCGTCGAAGCCAGCCTCGATGGCGTTCTTGGCTGCTTGTGCGTAGTCGGAGATGCTCTGCTTGATGTCTTCAACAGTCATCTCCTTGGGGGTAGCGTATCCTTCGCCTAGGGATGTTGCGCTGGAAGACTTGATGGTGATGTCGTTTGCCGCAGCAAAGTCCTTGTTCGCTACACGTCCAAGAGCCCAAAGCTGGAGGTAGATGTACGAGCCCTTCTCATGGACAGCCTTGGTCACTGGCTTCCAGGCATCGATCTGGGACTGTGTGTAGATACCGGGTACGTTGGGGTAGCCTCCGGATTGTTTCGAGACCAGGGTAGCCTCGGTGATGAGGAGGGTTCCCGGTACGCAAGCACGCTGGCCGTAGTACTGTGCAGCCATGGGCAGGATCTCATGATCGTCGTTGACACGAAAACGCGTCAGAGGTGCCATGGCAATGCGGTTCTTGAGCTCCATGGCGCCCACCTTGAGCGGCTGGAAGAGGCGGTCTGCGGACATCTTGGTGTTGTGAGAGTTTGATTTTGGTAGGTTTGAGAGTTCTGACATGTAGGAAGGTGTTGGAATATAACAAAAAACAGCAGCTGAGAGGTTTGAGCAACAAATCCTTCGACAGACCAAAAAGCCTATATACGCCCCTACTAAGCACACCCCGTCCGATGGTTTGAAATCAGCGCTCGGTCGATCTCGGCATCTGCGCGGTATTTGACTCGTAGAATTTTCCAAGGCGTTCCACGCCTGTGTAGACCCTGACGGACATCGTCCTAAGGATCATCTAGTCTTTAGGTGGTAAAGTGTGCCCGCATAGAGATATGTAGCCGCTGGAGGCGAGATGGTACCTGGACTTAGCGGGAGGCGGAACTTGTTGGCGGGAGCGGCGGTATCGCCGAAACCTTCGGGCTTATGACGTAAGCAGCATTGGCCTGGATCGCCAAACTGAAGGAGCGAAGGCCGACACTTCATTGTATGTATTGGCACATACCATCTGGACTTGGAAGGAAGTAAAGTGATTGATTGTCGGAAGTTACAACAGTTGCGCGAGAACGGATCCCGAGGATCCCGAGCACGCTAAAGCTGACTAACATCATGCCCGCTTGTTTCCTTGAGAACCTTTTGCGCCCTGCGCAGTTGCTCTTCCAAATCCTCATACCAAAGCCACCGAAAGTTCTCATTAAGCTTCTGCTCGAGCTTATTCATATCATCTTCTATCCCTTCCACCATGAAATTGTATGCTAGACCATTTTCGATACTCCTCTGAATACATCCCTGTGTTCTCGGTCGCCTGACAGCATCGTAGGCCTTGAAGGCAGCCTCGATATCATTAGAAGTCCCGACATCAGCTATCAAGCGACTGAGAAGAAATGCATCTTCCATAGCCATGCCAGCTCCAGCTCCCATATGAGGCGTCGTGGCGTGTGCGCTATCGCCCAGTAGACAAACACGGCCCTTGAAGTATGGTTTATCGTGTTGAAGAGTGTGTAGTGCCCATTTGGATGGTAGAGTATATCTCGCGATAAGATCGATGAGTGGCGGATAGAAGTCTTTGAACTTTTCACGCACCTCGTCTGCACTCGTGGGCACTATCCAGTTATCCTGGTCCCAAGTGCTGGTGAAGGATCGATCATGTGGCAGAGCAACCATGTTGATGAGTTCGCCATGGTCGACAGGGTAGGTGATGCAACTTCCTCCATAACCGCAGTACAATGTACCGTTCAGCGCTCTTTCTTCCCCTAGCGCTTTCTTAACCACTTCAGCTGGGGCCATGGCCCTTATCGCGGCCTCGTGAGCGTACGCTGGCTTCACATCTGGACCACATACAAAGCTCCGTACCTTGCTCTTGATGCCATCGCAGCCAATTAAGGCACTGGCTAGAGTAGTCGTTCCGTCGGCGAACCTTATCTTGAGCATACCAGCACCGACTTCTTCGACACTCTGGAAGCTTTTGCCGAAGCTTGTTATGTCCGCGGGAAGCAACGCAACCATCTCATCGAGCAGACGCGCCCGGTGTATACGACCTCGCATACAAAACCCAGTCGGCGCATCTGGTGTCTTCTTGGCGTCCATCTGATGGAAACCGAGATCTCCCGCTTTGGCTCCATTGGGTCGTCGCTCGTCCATACCCCATCGTATCGTGTTGAAAGTGTTTTCGCGTTCAGGGTCTGTGTTGATCGTCGCGTGTTTCATGTAGCCTTCCAGTAGACGAGGATCGATGAGGTGTAAGGCTGTCGTAGCGTTGGCACCGAATCCAACGCCGGCACCTATCTCAGCGAAGGACGGAGAGGCTTCGTAGATGTGCACTTTGACCCCATGTTTGAGAAGACCGATGGCAAGCGCGGCACCACCGAGTCCGCCACCGATGATTGCGATCGGAAGGCCATTGTGGTTTTGGAAGATTGCTGTAGTTGATCCGTTCGCGGACATTTTTTTGAGGATTGATGGTGGTTCAAGGCTCCGTCATTTCCGCCGCGGCGTCGCCATTATATCATTTACTACGGTCCGAAGATCATTGTCAATCAACTGCCGGACCGACCCGCGGGATTGGTATAGAAAGTAAGCTGATGTGAAGCCGCATAGGTACCCATGAGTTTAAGTTCAAAGCGGCGTGGTGTATATCGTCCTCCCGAAGGAGACCCTGGCGTGGATGACGTGTTAGACTGAGGCGGGAAGGTGCGAAAGCGGGGAAATTGGGGATGGATAAACTCCACGCTAACTGGTGATAATCGTGTTGCTATCTACTCCAAACGCGTTCCAACTGATGTGGGGAAGCAAAAACAGCGACACATGTTCCAGAACATCGTCATGTCTAACGGCCCAATTTGTCTCTACGTAACTTCGTTTCTTCACAACTCATTGTGCGCCGGCGCAGCCTTTTGTACCTCGATGCCACAGACTGCAGGCGTACCTACTTCCATTCGGTAGACGCACTTTTCTTCCTCAACGATCTTCCATATCTCGTCATTTTCGGCGCACGCTAGAATGACCATGGTGCTTCGGTTGGGGCCGTTCCAGCAGTGTTGACCATTCTCGTACTTGATTGCAATCCTTTCTCCACTGCCCAAGCCCTTGCCATCGGCAGGAAGCTCTTCATCGACGGTGATGGACTCAATGCGCGCGAAGTTGCCCATGCCAGTGTGGCCACCGCCTTTCTTGGGCTTCTGAGTGGTTTTTGAGAGGAAGCAGTGCTCATATGTGTATTCGCCAGAGTCTGTGGAGGTGCAGCGATCCTTGAGGGCGCGGAAGATGGAGTCTGGTCCGTAGTCTTTGGTGAGATCCTCTTCGTGCCTTGTAAGTTCCGACTTGTCGCCTTCGAGTTCCTTCTTCGCAGAGTCAAGCTGTGACTTGGCATCGGTAATAGCCTTTGATTCTGGCGCGTCGCCGGTTGTGGGGTCTGCGAGGATACCGTTCTCGATGAGCGCGACACGCAAGTCGCGCAGCTTGCTGTCTACCCAGCTACGGATGGAGTCGGGAAGGTATTCCTCGAACTTGTATACTGCGTGCGATAGTCAGTAGATAGCTCTAGATGCGTCATGGAAACAATGCTTACGGAGCTCCACGTCAGACTCTTCGACTGTCTCGAACTCGTCCCATTTGATGACGCTCTCAGAGTCTGGCTTGAGAATCTCATCGAGGTCGCGGTCTAGAGCGATGTTGGGTCCCGGGCGTTCTTGCGCAGCATAGTTCTCCCAGGCCTGCACGGCACGCTTCACGCCCTCGTCGTTGAAATTGGGGTTATACTCCTCCTTGAAGCGCCTCAACATGCCCTCGAGCTCCTCAACCCGAGATTGTGCCGCGTTCCTCTCATCTCGTACGCGGTTGACGTTGTCGGTAAGCTCTTGGATTCTGTCCTTGGTGAGGCTGGCCAGTACTGTGATCTTGCCGCCCTTGCCTGCGCCCTTGACGACCTTGCCTCGCTCGGCCCTCTCGATCTCGGCGAGGCTCTTGGTCAGCCCGTCGACCTTGAGAGTCGCACCTTCTATCTGCGTCTTGAGTGTCTGAATGCGGTCCTCGACCTCCTTCCGCATACGACCAGCCTCGGCGATGAGCTCCTTCCGCCGTTGCTTCGCAGCAGTCAGGCTCTTTTGTCTCGCCTCGTCCGCCTTCCGCCATTCTTTCCCAATGGTCGCGCACTTGTCTTCACACTTGATGCCGCCTACTCGCTCGTATTCGTCGCTGCCGTCACAGCATAGTTCGTAGTCGCATGCGCCATCGTTCACGTTGGTGAAGGGGATGTAGCTCGGCTGGTGGCCCTTGTTCTTGCAGTAGAAGCCAGGAAGGGCAGGCGTAGCGTTGATGTCCTTGCCCTTGAAGCCTAGAGGCTGGGGTGGGGAGAGAGGCGAGAGGTAGGCGCACGCCGAGGTGCCTGGCTCATCAGAGCCATCGGGGCAGTCGCAGTAGTCGTCGTTCAGGCGTGCGACTGGGAGTTTGATGGCCGGATTCGAGATACAAGTGAATGTCTCGGCATCCTTGTAGTACTTTGCAACTGCACATCGACTATCAGCTATACTCCAGCGTCTACGTGGAAGCTCTCGGTGAGCTGTAGCATGTGCAACCTACACTCCGGAGCGACACCCCGCGGCCGGGCGGGGTCTGACGCCGCATCTGCGGTACTGGCTAAGATAGGGAGAATGAAGGCTAGCAAAGACACGTGCTTCCTTCCCATTTTGAGTGTGGAGAGAGCAATTGGAGCTCGAGGCCTCAAGATGCTCGAAATGCCACATCGACATAGTTTCAGGGTCCACTGGCCCGTGCGCCGCCATCCGAGCTGCCCCAGCCCTCACCTCCACCCAACACTCCACAACTCCAGCGCTGGACGTCACGCTCAACCTACAAGGTCGTAACTCGCGACTCTGTATTTACTCGCTATCGTCTTGGTGCACACATCTGTCCGCAATAATGACCGGCACTCGCACATGTGGGTCGGCATCGCGTCCAGTCGGAAATGACTTCAACTCCGTGTAGCCTGTGTGAGTCGATTGGAACGCGCACACTGACCTTGTCCACGGCATGACTGTTTCGCATCTACTTTACCGTCTTTTCGAATTATGCGTCACCCAATGTCCTCAGCGCCCAAAAGTGCGTTTGGCGCTCAGCTCGGACATACCAGCATTCCTCGGCATCAAACGAACAGTAGCCTCCTGTCCAGGCCGCATTACCAAATTTGCCCCCGCCAGCATCATTCAATCGCGGACCCGGTGGATCTGTTCCTCAAAATCGGCCATCCATCGGGCCTACGACGCGGCTTTTGGGTGGCCGTCTATGTTCCGGTCTCTAACAAACGCTGCACATGCAATCGATTTGCTCCGTCTTTGAATCTTGGACATCCACATCCGGCTCTAGTATGGCTGAATTCGCACGCTAGAATGATGTCTTTTGTTTGCATATGCGCCCAATTCGCGTCAGGATTTATGCGGCGAGGTCATCAGAGTATACTTCTCTTCCTTCTCGAATCTCATCATTCTATCTTTGAACATCGGCATCCATCAGTTGCTCATAACATCATTTGCTTACTCCAACAACATGGCATACGCTGACGAGGATGAAATCGACTGGAGCGACGGCTCTTTCGGCGCTCCATCTCGAATACCGATCGATGCTACACCAAGTTCAACTACTCACAACCCAACTGCGGACGCTCATGAGGATGAAGATTCACTCTTCGTGTCGGAAACCTACGATCCACACCGGATACCCAGTGGTTCTACACTTGCAGCTGGTGAGAAGCTTGCTCTGCGTAGAGGTCGTTCACTGACACTTGATAGCTCCTGTGAACAGCAATGACACATTCCAAAACCCTTCGCGTGTCCAACGAGCTCGAGCCGGTGTTCACCTGAACCGTCGAATACCCTCCAAGGCGGACTACGTGAACTACGTCCTTTACCAAGCTAGCCAGAAGGCTTACGAAGCCACCTTTCTGAACAACTTCGTAGCGCATGCCCTGCATCCCGACCGCCTCGCTCAGTGTTCTGAAGATGCAAACAGCGGCCGCCAAAGCATCGCCGAGTACATGAAGTCTGTATCACATGAGGTCAACGGTATCACGAAGAAAATGATCTGGAATGGCCATTGCCGCACTGTACACCTTCTCGCTGGAGACGGCATGGATGGCGCGCCGTTCCTCGATCTACATACTCTCGACACCAGACCCTTCTCGAAGTACGGTCCTGGCAATCTCTTTCCCGTAGCAGACAGAGTCAACGTGTCTTGGCACCGTACCAGCTCCCATCCTTCGATGGTACGATACTCAACCAAGGAGTACGAACTTGGCTACCAGGCCGGTCCATTGGAGGATCTCGACGCTGTATCCCAGACACTGTTTCGAAAGGAGAACTTCGGTGTAACTTTGCCGATCGGACGTGCCGTCAAGCTGTCAACATCCAAGAAGCGCAAAGGTCAGAACATGCCTGGAGCAGCAACCAGAGATGACAGAATGGTCTCGTCTCGTCGGGACTGGATTCCTTTCCCGCAGCTGGCCACAATGTCGGACTTTCACGACCCTCAATCCATTACAAGCACTCCTCTCGATATCGTTCACGAAGCAAACGCGGCTGATGCCCACCAAGAACCTCGGATACTGTCAGATCTCAGCAGACTCTATCACGACTCTGTAGATGCTCTGTCTCCAGATCTTGGACAGGAAGAAGAACTACATCGGCCTTTCCCTCGTTACGCAGAGCTATTAATTCCCCATGATCCTGAAGTACCGATCAGCGACCGTGGCGGTGCATGCAAGCAGGGCAACAGCACCGAGCACGTAGAGAAGGTACACCACTGGCGAAACAGGCTGATCAAGGATCACAAGCGCCGGCTGACACTTAAGTGGGGCAACCCATCGCAGGCTCTCGATCATGCATTCCAGAACTTCAAGCAAGTTGTCGCAGCAGCCATGTCTATGGGTATTCGTCCCATCGCCCACGACTACCAGAAGAAGCTCGAAGCCATCGCATCCAGAGAGCGACTTCAAGAGCAAGCGGGAATTTCTGCTCGGTCACAGCAGAATAGTGAGCGCCTGTCCACTGAAACTACCACGGCTGACTCTTGTGAACCGCAATGTCTTCCAGTGGACTCAGACATGAATACTCCCGAGTCTTCCTCCTTCTCTCCTCCACAAATCCTTCGACGAGATATTGGTATGTCTTCGGACATATCCAATCCCGAAAAGACATCCTCGGAGCCCTCTAAGAAGAGGAGGAAGAAGAACCAAGCCGTGAACAAGCAAATCATGCGAAGTCACTCTACCCAGCAGCAGTCGACTGCACCCAAGCTAAACAAGCCATCGACCAATCAGTCAGCCGTGAAGGCTCCGTCGGCACACAAATCACCATCGTCCCATCCGAGTGGATCCACGACTTTGGAACCCCATCAACACCTTCCCCCCAACGCCTACTTCGAGCCGATCTCAGTAGATGAGAAGTACGCGTGGCGTTGTCGTTGCAAACATGCAATGGGCCACTACTACAACTCCGGGAGCCGCAAGAACTGTCGAGGCTGCAACACCTCGCTCAGTGACAATCACGCTGTTGAGATGGACTTTTACATGCCACTGAGGTCCTTTTACCACCAACCCGCACCAGACATGCGTTGGAAGCCTAGCAAGCAGGCTGCTCGACTTCGCAAATCAGACCGACCTTGTCACAACGCTGTGGCGAAGGACGCATATTGGGAGGCCGTAAGTACTGGTGCGACTGAAGAAGAGGCTCGGCAGGTTGCTGTCGACGCAGTGGTTCGTTACCTGCGACCAAAGCCACCGCCGAAAGCGCCGACGCCTGAGACGACACCAGAGCCAGAACCAGAGCCCGATCTTGGTCCCCATCCTAGTGGCTCGACTACTATGGAACACGGTCAGGAGATTCCCGACGGCTATTACTGGAAGAAGCAGAAAGCAGACGAGCAAGTTGCCTGGCGATGCGACGTCAACCACGGTCTCGGACGGTACTACCTAGCGGGCGACAAGAAGACCTGTCCAGGATGTGGAGCTGGCCGGACTAGTCTAGGCAAAAGCGAAGATATGGACTTCTATCTCCCGTCCGGTGTCGTCGTCCGCCAAGAAGCACCAGGCCTCTCCATATGGAGACCTAGGAAGCCATACAAGATAGGCAAACCCGCTGCTACGAAGCGGGAACCGGTTAGTCACAACCAAATGTGTGCGAAGGTGTATTTTGGACTGCTCGCCGAGGGAAATGAAGCAGAAGAGGCTCTAAGGCTTGCAATAGAGAGAGTGGATAGTGAGCTGGACAAGAAACAAGAAGCTAAGATGAAACGACAGGAAGCGAGAGAGGAGGTTGGAGACGAAGATGCGGTTGAGGGTGCTAGCTCTTCTGTTAGTGTCGAGAGGAGGGACTCCGCTGCTACGAGTCGCAACTCGAGAGGAGGCTGTACCATGTCCCTCGTCCCGAAGAAGCGTACCATGGATGACGTCATTGAAGAGAGTTTGGGTGAGCTTGTGGGTGATCTTGAAGATGGGGATGTGGGAAGTGAAGGGGAGTCTGGGGATAGTGTTGCGATGTCGTCTTCTGATGAGGAAGATAGCTCTGCCTCGGACTCGGAATGAGGGTGTAGTTGTATCATGTAGCTGTAGTGAATGAATTGTACTTCATGCATGCTGGTTCTGGCGATAGCGTACACCATCTATGAAACTCTACAAAGGGTTCGCTCCCTTAGGAAGCTTGACCTTGAACACCAAAACCTGATTGTCAAGGTTGTATCCAGACGCATCCACGTACTTGTTCTGACCAAAGTTGATGTATCCTACGCCACGTTAGCATGAGCGTACGCAGACGAACGAAAGATAACCTACCGTTCTGAGTAATAAAGTCATTATCCGAGAAAGACACCAAATAGTACTCCTTCCCCTCGTCCTCATCCTGCCTCTCACTCCTACCAATCTCATCATCCTTATCAACAGGCAACACAGCAAAGCTCTCCCACTTCTCGTTCAGCAGATTTGCGTCTTGCTCGCCGCCATTGTGAAGACCAAATCTACCGAGCTGGTCGTTGTTGTTGAAGGATAGCCACGGGCAGTAGGTAGCAGGCACGATACCGCTCTTCAAGACACCGTCTTTGCTTGCGATTTGTCCTTTGACATCATCGGCCGCTGTGCCTGCGACGTTAGTGGCGTTGGAAATATCAATTACATCCGCGTTACGGTAGATAGACAACGTGCTTTCAGCGCCATGACCAGCATTGGAGTCGCGCGCTAGAACGAGGAACTGGGTTTCGGAGATATAGTGCATCTCGGACTGACTGGCGACGCGCCCCGTCGGCAGCACAGGTAGCTGAACAGCATATTCCGCCTCGAGCGTCGTCTTGTCGTCTTTGACACGGTACTTGAGGAGCCGAGTGTTGCGACGCTTCTTCGCGGAGCTGCCGCCGTCCTGCATGGTAGCGCTCTGGAGCATGGTGTAGAGGTACTTGCCATCTGGGCTGGCGGTCAGAGCTTCCAGGCCCTGATTGTTGCCTCGGCCGCTGTCGGGGTCCTCGGGCACGATCTCTAGATCAGGGTCGTAAATGGGTGGGGAAGCTGCGTTGAAGCTGTCGGTTCCGTTGCGGCGGGGGACAAGAGCCTCGGGGGTGCGAATGGCCTTGATCATTTTGCCCTTTTTGTCGAATTGGTAGATGTATGCGGCGTATTCGTCACTGATCCAGAAGGTCTTGTCGTCTCCGAGGACTAGGCCTTCGGTGTCTAGTGGGATACGGGCTCCACCGGTTCCATTTTGGCCGAAACCGTTGCCAGTGTCTGCAATTATCAGTTCTGGTAATTGATATATGAACGCAAAACTTACATCTAGCTAAAGGAAGAGTGGGAAACCCAGGGTACGTAATAGTCTCCGTCGGATCCAGCCCAGTCAAGGGCGTACCATCCGGCCCAGTAAGCAGCAGCGTATCGACATAAGATAACTTCCAATTCGGACTATTGACCGGTTTCTCAATCGTTGCCTCAACCGGCGTAAAGACAACGCTGAACTTATGGATGCGGGTCTGCGTGTTCTGCGTACCCTGAGTATTCCAGCCACGATCAGGCAGACCCCAAACAACACCCTCGTAGGAGCCTTTCTTGTACTTCCAAGACTTCTTCTCGAACGCAATCGCGCTTCCAATACCGCCAATGGTGTCGCCGAACTTGTCGCGAGCGTCGCTGACGAGTTTTCCATAACCTGCTAGCGATTCGTAGGTGTAAAGTTTGCCGTTGCAGGTGGTGACATTGGCTGCTGCAGCATTATTATCGCGAGTGATAACCGGACCAGCAAAGACTGTGTTGACAAAAAGCGCCAGAACGCTGAGTGAAGCGACAAACAGCATTGCGAAGAGTGGGTTAACTGTCGCGTGCCTGAGCAGATGATTTTTGAAGAATGTCAACAGCATATATACATGCCCGTCAGGCCCGGGATGATCCCGCGATGACGCGACCCGACAGCCAGGCACACGAGGCTATCTTGATGCATACCTACACCAAGAGCCACACGTGCGCTGTCTGTTTGGCTGCGACCGACGAGGGTACAAATGCAATAGCGGCATGGCGTTGTGGGAGCCGTGTGTCCAGGCAAATGGCGTCGAAGAAGCGGCATGTAGGAGCAGATGCTCTGCCATGGATGTCACTAAGACATACCATGCAGCGCAGTGGACTAGAAGCTCCAGGTAAATGTCCCAATGATGACGGCGAGGTATGTGGAGAGGGATGCGCACGTTGCTTGACAACATGATGTGAGTCGCTGGCCGGAAATGGTGCCGAGGCAGGCGTTATTCCCGATGGGGCATGCGACATTGGTGGGCGGGTACTTGGTTCAACATAGTTCAGCTTTTAGAGAGTACATTCAAGCCGTCTTTTGACGTCGGAGTCAGTAATGGAGTGGGCTGCCCAGTTCGGCCGGCACCGGAGTAGAAAAAGTGTAAACATTCGTGAGATAACCCTTTCCAACCAATTCGCCAACCTATGCTACCTTTTGCGAGCCCCCCAAGCCTTACCCTACGACAGACAACCCTAAGAACATGAATAACAAATCGAAAGAATGCGCTTATCCAAATCAATCACCAAAAACAAAAACAAAAGAATACACAATGGAAATATCATCATAGCAAAGAGTGTTTATCGAAACAACCCCCGTTTCCTCGGCGTCCTCCCCCCATCCGCCGTCACCACCCCTTCCTGCGCCGAACTCGAACTGCCCAACGCAGGCATAGTATGCGCATGCACCAGCGGCGGCGCCTCAATATGTCTCTGACCCTGATACGGCGTGTTGTGACTCTGATACGGCGTTCCCTGTAACTGCTGCTGTTGCTGCTGTTGATACGGCGTCGGTAATTGCTGCCAATTCTGCTGGTAGCTTTGCTGGTTATAACTATCGTTGTAACCGTTGCTGATTACTCTGTGCGGCGTTTGCGGGACGAATTCGTTGGGTTGTTGGTGGGATTGTGTGTGGTGGGATTGTTGTTGCTGGGAGCGGAGGAGGCCGAAAGCCCAGTTTGAGAGGTTGAAGCCGCCGAAGATTATTATGGCTGTGAAGATCTGCGAGCGGGGTCGTTAGTCTGAGTTGGGATATATATTTGGGGGTTGGGGTTGGTCGTGATGGAAGCAATCGCAGGACTGGGTGTACTGGTTGTGCGAACGCGTATGCGCAGTATCAATGTGCTCGCGCCGTTCGTAGGCAGGGCTATGCACACTGGCAGCCCATCTTCTAACGACGATAAGGAGGAAGCAACATACCATAGACTTATAACTAAACTCCTCAACAAAAGAGTTAAAAATCATAGCAAACGTCTTCGCCGTCACCGTCGCTCTCGCAACTTTCTTCGGATCGCGATTCATGCACGTCTCCCAAACACCACATGCCCTCTCCATCGCCGGCACGACTTCCTCCGGCCGACACCGGTTCCGGTTGTATTCGATGGCGCATCCGGCGATTTCGACCATGACTTCTGATGCGTGTTTGGAGGATTCGATGTCGACGTCGGTCATGACGCCCGCCCAGGCGGAGTAGACGATGTAGATGAAGAGGCTGCCGAGGAACATGTTGACGGTGAGTTGGAGGTAGTAGGATAGGACGGAGGGGAGGTTGGGGTGCGCTTCGACCCACGAGAGGAAGCCGCCTACGCTCATGGCGAGAGTCTGCTGGACGGGGCCTGCCTCTTTGGGAGGGACTTGGGGTCGTCTTTGGAGTTCGTTGTCGGAATCTTCGCGGTCGTCGTCGTCGTGGACCGTGGCGCGCTTCTTGGACCGTGACCGCTCTGACCGGCGCTTGACTATGCGGTTCTCGGCTTTCTTGGAGTAGTACTTCTGCGATGCGTCTTTGTCCCGCTCTCTGTCCCGCTCTTTGGTGGGGCTCGGCGTGGACATGAAGGTCCGCTTGAACCAGCTGTCTCGCCGCCCGCCCTTTGCATCGCCGTTGCCTAGCCGCCCCATCTTGCTCGCCAATTGTGTGTCTGGTGTGCCAGGGTCGCTGTCCACTTGTGGTGTGCCCGGTGTTTCCCCGCCGGAGCTGAAGTCGAGGTCGTGTGAGGGCGTTCGCATAGACCACGGGCTCGGTTGGATGTGTGCAGGCACCGAAGATGCGGGTGTGGACGGTAGCGGCTTGCTGGGATCGCGGCTGAAGTATGTCATACGGTTGTCGGGGTCGCGCAGCCGATTCGGTGTCGCGAAACCGTTTTTGGAGGGAGAGTCTAGGACGGAATGAGGGCCTGCCTGGCCGAAAGAAGGCCCTGAAGTCAGCGGTTGTGTTTCCCCATGTGTGTTCCGTCCGAATGGGAAAGAGGGGCCTGGGGACTCACGCTTCTTTTGTTGGCTGGCAGCGAGGAAAGGCGATTGAGCGTCGATGGGGCCTGTTTGGTTCGTCCACTCAAAGTCCATGGGCGTCGTCGAGGGGCGGTGACTTCGCGACATGATGTTTGCCAGCGAAATTACGGGACAGGTGGAAGGTTCGGTTCGGTGCGTGCGTCGTGGCGTGTTGCGCTGTTGTTGATCAACACTTGTGTGTCTAGGGTCACAGTTGCGGACTTCCGGCACTAGTCTCGATTCGGGTCACTACAGTTGCAGTAATGTTGTAGGTTTGATTGCCACTGGCGAAGAGAGTACTGTTATTTTGTATGTAAGCACGGAAGTAAGACGCTCGAAACATTGTGAATTAACCGAATGCACGAGCATGTCTTAGTGCTTTGGGTGGACTGCTAGTGGGAAGTCATCCTCTCTGCCAGCTTCTCTAGAGTTCATGGAATTTCATAGTAGTAGGTATAGTACAGTGAAGATCAAAATGCAATGCCTCTGAAAGGCCCTCATATGAACAGAACTCCCTAGAACAAAGATAGCCGCCTTCTCCTGTTGGGCATCTCTCCTGGCCAAATAGGTGGCATGACGGGCGAGACCCCCAGTGATTCCGCAAGCAAGCACAACTCATCATGCTGGATTTTTCCACCGCCCTCTCCAATCCGACACCTCTCGAAACAGCTATGTCTCAATCGCCGGCTACGCTCCTTCTAGGCAGGCGTAAGACCAACCTGCGTACCGTTCATTGAGGCCAGAGTCAGTGTGAGACCCTCTCGCCATGGACCCGGGTCCCGGCTCTCCATGGTCTTGAACTCTTGCACCATACGCACAGTCACGTAGCTCGCCTCGGTAAGCGCATATTGCTGTCCGAGACAGATACGTGGGCCGCCGTTGAAGGGCAAGTATTCCCAGCCTGGACGGAGAGTCTCCCACCTCTCGGGCTTGTACTCGTCTGCGTCTGGGCCGTAGAGATCGTGGCGGCGGTGCATGGTGTATGGGGAGTAGCCGACGGTCGTTCCTTTTGGTACGAACATAGGTGCTTGGCCATCTGGACCACCTCCTCGGGGTAGTACAGAGTCGCGGATGGCGAGGCGAGAGTTACCGGGGACGACTGGGTGGAGACGGAGTGCTGGTTAGAATTAGTATTATGATATATCAATCTCAGTACGCAGACTCACATTCGTTGAGGCACCACTTGACGTATTTAAGGTTCCTCAACTCCTCGTACGTTGGTGTGCGACCTCCCAGTGCCGCAACCTCCTCCCTCAACTTGGCATAGATATCAGGCCTCTTCGCAATCTGGAAGAACATGTTGCTGAGCAGACTAGCAGTCGTGTCACGCCCGGCAAGCAGGATGTTGATGAGTTCCTCGCGGATGCGCTTCTTGTCGGTAGTCTGCTTGGCCACCTCTTGGATAAAGTAGTACTTGTCGTCCTTGCCTCCAGCGCTCTTCTCAGCATCCAATTCTTCCCTGAAACGGAGCGCATCGTCGACGAACTTGTCAACATAGGCGTGGCAGATGTTGATGGCCTTCTTGCCCTCGGGGTTCTTGCGGAAACGGTCGAAGATGCCCCAGCGGGTACGGGTCGTGATATCGTCTTGTGCGGTGGTGAATGCCTTGCTGAAGATGACGTCCTCGTTGTTTGCGTCTTCCTGGCCGACCATGCGGAGCGAGTTGGTGGAGTGGTTGAAGAGGAACTCTGTTGCGGTGTCGATGGTCAGGCGGAAAAAGAGCTCTTGCAAATCGACAGTAGCGCCATCCTTAGGGATGTGCTTGAGCATAAGCTTGAAGTGCCTCTCAAACGCCTCGATATCAGCTACTTGATCGCGAGCGAAGTTGGGTCGCAGCAAGTGACGGCTATTAGCCCACCTCTCACCATCCGCATTGAAGATACCATGACCCAACAGAGGAGTAAAAGCAGCTTGCCTATGCCCAAAGCCATAGTCCTTGAACTTCAAACTCAAGATCGTCTTGACGTTCTCCGGCTCGCAAGTCGCAATGAAAGGCATGGTAATCAGCCTGTTATGGAAAGTGTTACCGAGCCGTCCAAAGCGCTTTCTGTTCTCTTCCAGCAGGATGTGGTGCTTGCTGTTGTATGCCATGATCTTCACGTTGTCGATTCCGAAAATAGGGTCTTTGTGGAACTGCGCCGTGCATGGTTGGCAGCCATTCTCTTTCTTGAAGCGCTGGCGCGCGAGGTAGAGCGCAATACGGGTGTATAGGATATAGGATATAGCGGCTCCCGCAACGATGAAAAGTAGTGGCGATTGCGCCATGGCGTCCGTAGGAATTGTGTTGTTGGAGAAAGGTAGTGGTTTTTCGGAAAAGGTTTTAGTGATGACGTCGTGGAATGGCGATAGTGGGCAGCCGCGTCTTCGTGGGAGCTATTTGTATGCTTTAGTCGATGCAGTCGCGTTTATTCCACGAGGTGTTTAACCGGTCCCTCACAACCAACCCAGTTGTTGATGTGGAAAGAGTGATTGCAGGGTAATAGACACAGCCGCTGTCAGGCCCACCTTGAATCCACAGCTTGAAGCGTTCCGAGGTCTGTTGTCGAGCCAAGTCCAGGTAACAGACACCCAAGTCTTCTTCCCCTTGTCTTACGTCCGTATTCAATCAATGTCTCTTTTCTTACTCGCAGAAAGATTTGTCGTGCGACTGCTCGGCCGAGGTCCAACAAAGTGTTCGGTCTCCGTCGTTGTTCCGCACTCCGCTGTACTGTCCAAGAATCCCGGTGTTACCACCAAGAGGCGGATGGTCGTTCAGTATAGCCACGGGCTTGGCTGAGTACTTCCAAGAGTTTGTCGTAAAATGTCAACACAACAAAAATACATCACTAGTCACGGGGCCAGCCACTCTCTTATACCACCTACGCCCGTCCGAAATTCTAGGGGTTCCACAAGCCCATCGTCTAACAAGCCCACGGCACACTTCACAATTTGAGCACTCAGCTCCGGACACGGTGCAAAGCGGCGCCCGACTGCTGAGGTAAACGCCCATTCGGAATGGAATGCGCTCGCGGAGGCTAGAGCATAGCGTGCGCGCTCCGGAGTAGGTTTTCGGTGATGCCGCTGCTGCAGCATCCCTGCTGCAGCCCCGTTACCGAGGCTGATTCGCGGGGGTCGTGATTCGCCCAGATCTGATACAGCAGATCTGCGAATTCGCATGTTGGGCCTAAACGGGTTACTGCCCGATAGGTGTTGTATGCAGGCTCGGAGGACTCGGAAGTTACTGTAATGAGGTGCGGAGGGTAGTCATGTGTTGCAGGCGAGAAGGGAATGTTGCTTGTTGCGGGAATCATCAGAGTCAGCTGGAGGGGAATCATGGGTTCCTGGTGACATTGTTGCAGTGTAACACAGGCTACGATAGTGTGCACAGTCAGCTCATAACTTTAATCCGACTCTTTTCACTTGAATTACGATGTATACTTTGTTGCTACATGCCAATGTCTTGGACTGCTGATGGTGAAGTCGATACACGTCACCCGCGTGCGCAAGCGCAAAGCCCACGTTTGGGTCTGTCCAAACGGCCCGCTGCACGAGGCAGACTCCACTTCACATGCTGCCTCCGAGGGTACAGCGTGGATCACTAATCCGACGAGATCCACTTCATGTGATTGATCGTTTCCTTCTCTAGGTACTCATATACCTGTGTGTAGTCTTTGCACACATGCTTCGCGTCCCAGCCGTCACTTCCACCACGATCTTCGCCATGCTCGTCGCCGGGGAAGCTTGTCGCAGCCCCTTCTAGTGCCACATCTCCAGCGCACATTATCGCCTGTCTAATGTATTCGAAGCAGTGGTTGATGTGCCATGGCATCTTGACAGGGTTTGCCGACACAGGTGATGCGACCATGAGCTTCATGGAGTTGTACGCGCCCAGTATAGTGTAGAGACAGTGCAGCTGATGCGTTACGGACGTGGTGAAGACGGTGTGATTGGGGTAATCGTGTATCGGGTGCGGGAGGTTCGAGTATTCGGAGGGGTTCTTCACGTTGACGTAGCCCAAGCCCTCTACGGGGATCGTCAGCACTGTTCAACCGCAAGAAACCAGAACGATGTACATACCTGGTACGATGCTCAGCCATGCATGCTGTGTCTCGTTGCTCCAGAACTCCGCCGCATCTTCTGGGGCGAACACAGAACTGGGCTTAAAGCTCACAATCTGTTGGGAGAATGTTGGCGCGAAGCCTGTGATGTCCCCTGCGAGCTCGTATTGATGGCTTTTCGCATGCTTTTGCCATCTCTTCTCCACCAGCAAGCCTACAATGGCGAGGAGAAGCGCCGTGTCTAGTATCCAGCGATACCCCTTCAGCTTCTTCCACACTGTCTTGCGTTTTCGTCGCGGCCGAACTGCATCTTCTGTATCCCAATCGTCAACCTCCGTACTCGAATCCGAGTGATCGTCAACGTTGCGAAGGGCGTCGTATCGTTGGTCGGGCTTTAACGGGTCGTTCGTCGCGAAGGCCATGATGGACACGTCGTGAGTCGATTTGTGTGGTGCGAATGCCGGCATTACTGTAGCTGTGGTTTGGTAAGGATGAATGGGTAAGCGCAAAGATACAATGGCGTTGACGCGGCATCGTGATCATCTGCTATGACGCTCAAACGTATACTGCGACGCCAATCGTTAGATGAGACGTGATCCGGCTTGGAAGACGACGATCGTCACGCCGAGCCCTGAATCGTTAGCATAGATCAAATGTCTTATTAGAAGTATCAGCTTCCGGGTTGCATCGTAATAGCATGCGCGTATAGGTACGGCACGTTGCATTGCCTTTCCTGGCGTGAGAGATAGACGTGAGTGGCAGACGCGCCGCGATAGATATCAACGCAGACTTTACGATGACGCGAAATCAGATCGAAGTTCAAATCGAAGGAAGAAGGCAACGCAACAATTTCATTCGTATTCATGGTAGAGTCAGAGGTTTGGCGCCGACGACGATGCTTGTGGGACGCGATGGCGCTAATCGGAGTCTATCGATAATCACGCCAAGGACTCCCCAGCCCACACCACCTGCCACTGCATTCGGCATCATCACCGACCACCCTCTGACCATGAGATTGAGATCAACGCGCTCCGATCCGAGTCATACTCTACAGGTTATCGATGCTCTTCGAGCGAAATTAGAAGATACCATCGCCACATTACCTCCGGCCCATTCGTCTGCTCGGCCAGTATCAGCCAGCATCATCCACTCGCCTTCGCTTCCTCACTCCACTATCCGTATGTGACGTTTACTGGCAGTCTGCTGCGATGGATGAAGGATGGAAGGTTCGCTGCTGTTCCTGAGCGCCTGTGCGGCATGCTCCTTAACGGTCGGCAACGTCACCGTTGAAATATCCTCATCAGTAAAGAGACCGAGTGCCTCAACAGACAACTCCTTCCTGCGCGATGGCGACCGTGCTGCTGATGCGGCATGGTTACGCGCGTGCATGCGCTTCTTTCCCAGCGACACAGAATCCCTATGAGCAAACAGTTCAGGCGACACACCACCCGAATGAACGATACGAGAGTGCGCGATCGTAACAGAGTCGCGATGGTCGCGGAACTTGGTATCTGCTTCTTCGAGGTTCGAGAGCTTTCGGATCATTGGTGGTGGCTTGGCGTTTCTGCCTCTGGTATGCGGGACCTCGACACTGGGCACGACAAGAGTGTGCTCGGAGGGTGGTGATGATCCCATTTCTGGAGCGTGTGGTGGCGTCACTTGAAGGGCGTTTCGAAGCGATATTTCCTCACACGACACGCTCCTGGTCAGCGGCGCGCTTACGGGGCGTGATGAGACGCTAGAATGCGCACCGCTTGTGATACGGCTGTTTGGAGGTACTGTTGCTGCCAGGTCTTCGTCGTCGTCTACCGCACAGTCGTAGCGAGTCGCCCGGCCATCATCATCAGGAAATACCACAATAGTGGGCTTGAAGCTGTCTGACGGACTGTTCCAGGTTCCCGACCATCCTGCGAGCTTCGAGTTGACTCGGTCAAGGCCACCACGTTTGGCGCTCGGGCTGGCAGTTTCCAACGCATGACTTGCTGACGAGCTTCGTCGTCCCCGCGTCCTGATGGTGTGCTCTTCTGGCACATCGTCCCAGATTACCTCATAGCTGCCACTCTTTGTCTCGATGATTTGCATTGTAGGTGTTGCTGGGTCAGCGCTGTCGTCATGGGTAAGGCCTTGTGCGTCCCATGAGGGAGCTATAGCGATGACATGTACGTCTGTCCGTGTAGTAGCTGGCTCCGCTGCAGCGCTCTTCGCTATGTTCATCGTGTTCGGGCATGATGGGCATGACTTGACGAGTTCTGTATGATTGCTGACCGACCTGGAGCTCTCTCCGGTATCACTTGCTAGAGTCCGAGCCGAGACTTCTTCCGTGATGGGTGCCGGGGGTAATGAGATCGATTGCTTCGAACCACTTTCTTCGAAATCGACAGTTTTCACGCGACGCAAGGTCTTGAGCTCGGCGTTGATGCTTTCTTGTTGCAATCCGGTCGGTGGTGTGGTTGTGGTACTCTTCGCCTTCTTTTTTATACATGGCTTCAGCTTCGTATTCCCATGGCGCGTCTTTGGGTTTGCAAACGCTCTTGCTGGGTCTGGCTCTGACTTTGAACGCACAGCAGTGGACCTGATGGGACTTGGCCTTGCACCCTTTTTGGCCTGGTTCTTATTCGGCTCGGGAGTTCGAGATCGCTTGGCCATGGGCTTTGTCTGCTCAACGAGTTGCTTCTGGAGACTAGCAGATGAAATATTCGGATCGTGGTACTGAGATTTTAGTTCGTATCTGGAGTTGCTGATAGAGCGCTGAGATCCGGGGCGTGGAGGCCGTAGCTGGCTACGCGTCGGTGTTGGGGTCGGACGGGTTGTATGGCGCCCATCCTCTTTCGAGCGCACCGCCTCCAACGCGGCAATCGCAGTCAACCGTTCATTCCGTTCTTGGCTCGGTATAACCAGTTCGCTCGCGGATCGTTTTAGCGACCGCCTAGAACTCGCCTTCGAAGGCTGACTCGCTGACATGTCAGTCCGATCGTTGCCCGTTGTTTCGGCATCATGCGACGTCGTCGTTGAATAAGCAAAGTGAGGCTCGCGCTCTTCGTCAGGTGTATAAGGAGGAGTGTTGGGGCCTGCCTCTTTATCGGTTGTGAGGTACGAGGTGAGCTTGGTGATTAAGCCATCGCCGGAAGTCCCAAGCATGGTAGCTGAAGATTACGATGGATACGTCAACCGGACAGCAAACATTCGTCAGCGTATGAGTTGGAGTGTGAAGGGCGATGGCAATTATCGTGATATATAGATCGTGACGTAGGAAGTTCGAAAGTCAGTGATAAGAGGATTTAGGGTGACGTTTTAGTCGCGAGGAACGTGTGTGCAGTAACAGTCAGGGCAACCGTGCAGTGGAAAGATTCGGACATGCGGAAGGCAAGGTACGACTTGGGACGGGAGCTCTTACCCTCCACAGAGCCATCATGTTTTGGCCTCGGGAAGTGACACCGCATGAGCGTACCTCATTCGCACTGCCTTGAACAAGCAGGGCATGCTGAAGTCGAGATAGAAGAATGCGACAAAGATTCCGATTTCTAGAAAGATATGCGGGATCAAGCCACCGTTGACGCGATACGGCTCATGCTCTTCTGTAGCTTGCAATGATTAGGTATCTATAACGGCAAAGGTGACTTCTTGCGTGTCCACCCCTCAATGACGGTTGACTGGATACCACTTCCTGTCACATATAGTTTGTGAATATCTTTTTTTTGAACGAATGAATTACTAAACTCTATCATAAGAAGCAACATCGAAGCCTCCAACCTGGATATCAAATGGCCAATCATCTACTTTGTCGAAACCGCCACAAAACGCCCCAATCAAGTAAATCTCGTAAATCTATCTTGTCTATGCCATACATGCCGCCAACCTGCTCACGCAGCAGCCTCAGTCTTGGTCTCCTCTTTACCACTCTCCTCGTACTTCTCCCAGTTGGCCAAGATGTTGCCGATCTTGGGTGAGTTGGTGAGCTTGTACACGTCCTCGAAGTACTCCTTGGTCAACGCGAAGGGCTTCGCGGTTACGTTGGGGATGTACTTTCCGACTAGCTTGCTGGGGTCGATGGAGGTCTTGTGGATCTTCTTAAGAAGGAAAGACCTGAAGGGCTTGACACCGGATCGCAAGAAGGTCGAGTGGAAGGGTACGTCGATACCCTTGAGCGGGATGGTAGCGAAGCCACGCTGCAGGTCGAGCGGCTTGGGCTTGGCCTCTGTCTGCTCGGCGCAACCCTTGATGATCTCAACCAGGTGGTTCTTGACTTCCTCTAGCGACAGAGTCTGCATGAGTGCTTGGATGTCGATCTTCTGTTGCTTGAGGTAGTTTGTCACGCCAGTAAGGCAGTCGAGAGCGCGGAGGTCACCGGCAGCAACGTACTGCATGTTGGCGATGTTGTAGTTCACAATCTCCAAAAGCCATCCGGTTGTCTCGGCAATGTTCTCGACAACGTATTGGAGAGCTTGCTCGTTGAAGGTCTTGGAGATCCTGCTGGGGTTGACAGCGCACATGGAGTAGTTGGAGCGACCGGTCTCGTCACGCTCGACCGCGACTTGCATGGTAAGACCACGGTAGAACACGACTGAGACTAAACTCTCGATAGGCATGACCTCAGCCATGGCCGCAAGAGCGGAGTATTCACCGAGAGAGTGCCCAGCGAATGTGCTCTCGACCTGGATCAGACCCTTGGCGCGCATGTCCTCGAACGATGCCTTCTCCATGAGTGTCAGAGCAGGCTGTGTGAATTGAGTCGCTGACAACAGACCAGTCGGCGACCGGTAGGTGTACGATGTGGTGTTCTCGTCAATCTCCTTGAAGATCTTCTCAGACTTGATGGAGCCGTCCGCAGCAACAGTCTCGAATGTCATGGACATGTAGTTCTGGCGGATGGCCTTGCCGACTGGGCCACCAAAGTGAATGGTGAGCTCCTTGGGGTTGTTCTTCACGATGTTGGTAATTGCGAAGCCTGTTGTGAATTAGCCACAGTATGATATAGATGAACGGTGCAGACTTACCATAGTTGTCCATGAAGTGCTTATCGGCACGGTCCCAGACTTCCTTGGCGACAGGACTGCTGTTGTAAAGCTCCATACCCATACCCTGTTCTTGCGATCCTTGTCCAGTGAAGACGTATGAGGTAGTGGGTTGCTCAACCTCAGCCTCGCCAAGGAGGACCTTGTCTTCGGTCTCCTGGTTGCTGACTTCAATCTTGATGATCTTACGACCAGACACCATACCGACGTGCTGAAGCTTGACATCAAGCATGTCATCGGGAAGCACCATGCCCACGAGGTTGACGTGGTAGCTCCTAACACGACCGACATTGTTCTCGGCGGCCCAGGTCTCTACCAAGCTTCGGACAGCTGCGCTGGAGTACATGCCGTGGGTGATCGTACCAGGTAGGTTGGCGTAGCTGGCAAAGACACGTGAGACGTGAATGGGGTTGTAGTCGCCAGAGACGCGAGCATAGTTCTCGTTGGAAGCAGGTGCCTTGAGCTGAAGCGGTGCCTTGCCGTGAAGTGGGATAGCGTTGTCGAACAGCACTGGCTGATCAACCGCAGCTCCGTTGCGCTCCAAGTAGTCGAGGACGGGGTTGCCGTATGCGGTGCCCGAGCTGTATTGCACGGAAGCGATTTGGATCACCTCCTTAGTCGGAAGTTCGAGCAAGACCTCTCCTTGAGTCTCGATGTCAGAGAAGACTGTCTTGTTCTTGTATCGCACGACAGTCTCGAGCTTGAAGAGCAAGGTCTTGTTCAGCAGGTCGATCTCAGGCTCCTCAAAGTTAAACCACTCCTTTGATCGCAGAATGGCCACGTCCTTGCTGGTAGCCAAGTTTAGCTGAATGGGCTTCTCGACCTTCCTCTGGAACGTGTTCTGGAAATCATCATATGCGCCGCGGTAGAGGAATTGACTAGTGACTTCCATCACTGGCTTACCATCGCGGGTGATGGTGCCACAGACCTCTACCATCTTACCAGAGTCCTGGTTGATGACAGCATTGATCTGTGCAGTGGTGTCGAGAACATCGCCCTTCTTCAAGGGCTCAGCGCCAGAGATCATGCGGAACCCGTTGGAAAGATGGACCAACTTGAGAAGGTCACCATCGATTGCGCGAGGGAAGATAGGCTTGGTGATGGCCTTCCAGCCGACAACGATGGCGAAGTCCATGGGGGCGTAAACTTCCTTGCCAGGTCGGTCAACAAAGGCCTCACCCTTGTTTCCGACTGCGTGGACGAAGTCGTTGATAGCCTCACTTGTTACAGTGGCGCGGCCACCATCGAAGCGTGAAGTGACGGACGCATCGAATGGGCAAGCCTCATCTCCAAACCAGATCTTGTAGTAGAAGTCCTTGATGCGGTCGTTTCGGGCATCCATGACCTCATGAATAGGCGCGTAGCCTACGTCAGGACGGTAGGTGAAGCGGAAAGGTAATGCGACTGCGTGTCCAATGGCGGTACGCTCCTCGTAGATGTTGAGCAGGATCTCGCTGTCTTTCGTGAGGCTGACTTCGACGGTCTTGATTAGCTTGCCGCCGTGGTGCAGCTCCTTGACGATGATGGCAGTCTTGGCAGGCTCGTTGGGGTTCTGAATTTCGACAACCATGCCAGGTGTGGGAGCAAAGACCCTGGAAGTAGGGTTGGTCTGGAAACGCTGACCCTGCACAAAGATGTCCGCAGTGAAGAAAGCATGTCTCCATGAATAGCTGGAGCCTGCCAGGAGTTGCAGCCATGAGTGTACTTCTGGCATTGTGGCGTTGGGAGCAGCGGAGAGGCGGTAAATGACCTTGTTCTCGAGCTCTGAGACGGTAAGACCATCGACCTCTAGACCCTGGGGTGGCGCTAGCAGGTTGCTACCGAAGTACTCAATGACGGGAACCTTGGACTCGTCATCGCCGTAGATGTCGTGCATAAGGAGCTTGATGTGACCCTCGTGGACACCATCCAGGATCTCCTTGATGGGCTCGTCAACCTTGGTGGAGTACTTGACAGCCATGGGTCCTTGAAGGATACATGTCCTGCCAACGTCTTGGTCAACGACAGCATCGAGATCCTCGGATTGCCAGAGTGAATCCTTCTTGAAGAAAAACTCAAAGGTCTCGTCAAGGACGGGAACGAACGGCACAGGCTTCTGTCCACGACGTTGGCAGAGCAACAGGAAGTGTTGCACATCTTGGGCGCTGATGAGCTGGTTGTCGGCATCGGGGTAAGCCTTGAAGACCTTCTCGAGCATTGGGAAGGGGTCGTTGAGCTCATCGTAGTTTTGGATGAGTGACTCGCTGCTAGCTTTGCTGAAACGCTCTTCCAATCGGCGGATGAAGTCGCCAGTCAAGCGCTTCAAACTCTGGTCGATCCAGCGGGATTGGTGCTTGACGTACATGAGGTCTACCATACGTTGGACAACCTCAGTGTAGGTCATGTCTTCCAAGTCAACTGACTCTCCCTTCTTGTTCTTGCCGAACCAGACCTTCTGGAAGTCCTTGTTCAGCTTCTCGATGATGTACTCGCGCATCTTCTTCAGTTCGGGGACACGCTTGGCCTTGTCGAGACTAAAGATCTTCTGGTCCATCTCATGCCAGAAGATGACACCACGAGTGGCAAGCTTGTGGATTGGCTCACCCATCTCAGAGCGAACAGTGATGACACCTCCAGCTGGGCCCTTGTAGGTCTTCTCCCAGTCCTCGTCGTCAAGACCAGGGGCGTCAACGATAGCTTGTTTGGCCATCTTTGATGTGTAGCATTCCTTCGCCGTCATTACGCGACTGCCGAACAAGCAACCGTCATATGGCATGGGTGGGTATCCAAATTTGGTAGACCATTGACCGGTGAGGTATGGGTATGTGTCTTCGGCACCACCGAAACCGGAACCTGCGACGAGAATCAGGTTCTCACACTTGCGCAGACGGCTGTACATCTGCAGAATGGGCTGATGGAAGTCCTCGAAGGAATGATGACCTCCACCACGACCACCAGTCCATTGCATCAAGACCGGGAAGGTAGGGTTCGCCTTCGCAATGTTAATGGTCTGCTGAATAGCCTCGACGGAACCAGGCTTGAAGGCAATGTGCTTGATGCCAAGGGTTTCGATGTATTCGTTGGCTACTTCAATGGATGGAACACCAGCACCGATGGTAAGACCTTCGATAGGAACACCTTCGGCCCTGAGCTTGGCCAAGAGGGGGATCTGCCAGGCCATAGCGCGAGGGTTAACATAGATGAGGTTGACGCTGATACCACGACCAGCAGGAATCGCCTTCTCGACCTTAGTGATAGCTTCGGTCATGGTCTTCTCATTGTAGTAGCCACCGCCAGCAAGCTCGATCTCATAGCCGGCATTCATAGTCGCTGCGACAAAGTCCCATGGAACAGTGCAGGGCGTCATACCAGCCACCATCACGGGAGGCAAACCGAGCATGCGGCTCATCTTGGTGTCGACGTAGGTCTGCCCAGTAGATGTCTTGACGAGACGCGGCCCGTGCTCTTTGACCCAATCGACAGCGTACTTAACAGCGTGATCGAAGTCGCGATCGAAGATCTCGGGCTTGTAGCCAACTTCGGCATTTTGTCCATCGATAGCACCTGCAAGGATGACACGGACACCAGTACCGTCCTTGTTGCGGTTGGTGAGCACTCCGAGACCTGAGATACCACCGGGGCCGAAGTCGAGAATGTGGGTAGCCTTGGGGAAGACAGTTGCCTTCTCCCACTCGACCGAGTCGGCAGTGATCATGCTGACAAGGCGAGGCACGATGTTGTCGCTCTCGGTCTCGCGAAGGTCTTGGCCTGTATGTGTGTCATACATGGGGATGCCAAGATCGGCGGTAGAGATCTTGATTGCCTTGAGATCATCTTCGAGCTGCTTGGTCGCATCTACCAGATATGGGCTGTGGAAAGGAGCAGTGATGGGTAGGAAGCGGTTGACAAAGCGCACTTTGCGCTCAGTGTAGGGAATTCTCGTTTGGTCCAGGCCAGTCGGGGCCTTGTCCTTGCGCAAACGAAGGTTGAGACCGTACAGAGAGATTGGTGGACCTGTGACTACGAAGTTGCGAGCGCTGTTGACTAGAGAGATGGCAATGTGCCGATCTTGGGGCAAATGGGCATTTGTCGCGTCAATGTGGTCCTGGACTGCTTTTCTTGAGAGATCACGGATGGAAAGCATAGGCGTGGGGACACCCTCGCCGTTCTCGTCCGAGTCTTGCAAGACTGTCGGTGCCAGCGAGGTTCTGGGGAAGGCTTGCTGACTCCGCGCACCGATCCAGAAGAGGATCTCAATGGCTTTCTTGGCAGATCGCTCGAAAGATTCCCAGTTCTTAGCTTCGGCGATGGCGGCGGCTGTAACGACACCCTGTGAGTGACCGGTTACACCAGACAGGCGGCTGCGTACGTGGCCAGGATGGCTGCCGAGCACTCTGCACGTTACGACGTAGTGTGCAAGCTGAGTCAACCCAATCAAGGGCAAACTGACAGGTGCCGAAACCAGGTAGTCGGTATCGGGTTGTGAGTCTCGGTTGTTGAGCCATCGCATGACATCGAGGCCCTTGGAGTAGAGCTTCTCAGCGCGTGGGTCACGCGACAGGACGAGGAGATGCTGTGCCTCGGCCGCAACAAAGTCCTCTACGAATGAAGGGTAGGTGTTGTAGATCTCGCGGAGTTCATCGAAGTACTCCTCGATGTTGCCCTGGCCGCCCAGAACAGCGTAGATGAAGGCATTCTCGTCGGAAGCCTCGCGGAAGAGAGCCGACTCGTGGTGCTTGATTGGCCTCTCTACCGCCGCGCGAGCAGCGTAGTATGACCGCACCGTGACCAGCTTCTTCTCGGTGATGCCGGGCAGAGATGCAGCCAGCGCGTGCACCTCGTTGCCGCGGAGGAAGGCACGCTCGAATTCGGTAAGAACGAGCTTGAGCACCTCCTCGAAAGAGTCAGGGTCCTCCCCCTCCTCTACCTCCTTCGCGACAAAGCCAAGGTATCGCGCCACCAGCTCCGCCACCGATGATGGCTCATCGTCTAGGGCGAGCTCGTCGGTGGGCTCTGGGAGCGTCGACTTGAACGTGTCCCTCAATTGTTGTGCATTGAAGTGGAGGGCGGTCGGGATGAGGAGCGTGTATTCGAGCGAGCCGTGGGAGAGGATGAGCGGGCGCAGGTTTGCCGCAGAGCGGGGCGTGGAGATGCCCGTCTGCTGGCCGGAACCGTACATGGTGGATGTGGGATTACTGGTGTCCTATAGGAACTGGTAAGCTGAGTGCCTGGGAGAGATGGAGGTGAGTGACGGGTAGCGGAAGGCGCGTACCTCGGACAGATTATAGGTGTGGAAGGAGCGACGTGGGCAGGAAGGAGCGTCTGAGCAGTGTGAGCTCGCGTCTGGTATGGCGGGGGAGGTGCAATCGACGCAATGGCCCGGGCCAAAAGACGTCCGGAAGACAGCTGTCTTGAAGTGCTCGCAAGAAAGACTCGATGCGTACCTCTTCACTCAGACAGAAGCTAATCTGGCCGGTGTGCTGGGATAGGGCCCGTACTGCTAGTAATGTGTAGCAGCTCCCTTGCTATGTGCGGTGCGGTGTGCGAGGGGCGTGGAGAGAATACCGCAGGCAGCAGGATTACGAACGGCCCCAGGGTTTAAGAAAAGTAATCAGAAGGGAGTGCTTATGCAATTGGGCGGGGAGGAGGTGAGGAATGGGTCGGAAGCGGTGCGCTGGCGTGGTTATGGTCGCGCCGTCTGGGTCGACTTTTTCGAGAGGAGCTCAGATTTGGCCCGCATATCATGGGTCACTAGCGGCGGCAGGGGTCTGCGGTATGTTCCTACACAAATGCTGGGGCAGAGGCACTCAACAAGTCGCCGCCATGCGCTTATCCGCGCCCACGCAGCTGTTGAGGACACGGTGGGCCGAGTTTCCAAGTTTCGGTGCGAGGCTGGCACCCACTCGCAAGTCGAACCGCAATCCCCTTCGTGCGGTGGCCGCCTGTTGTTCGCTCGCAAGCCCATCTTCTTCCAGGCGAGATTAGTTCGTTGAGCACCGGCCAAAGCAGTAACGAGCTGCAGTCGCAGGGGTCTGGAATTTTAGTACCGCCAGCCCGAAGCGGGAGAAATCCTCAACGCCCGGCCATATCAACGCCGCGTGCTGCTGTCCAGCAAGAGATAAACAGCCAATGCGTTGAGTGTCCTGTTCCTGCAACGTCCGCTGACCCTTCCCTCATTTTTTCGCGAAGAAGAAGAAAGTTGTCGTTCGCGGGGAGCCAACGCACCCCTCCCGGACCCTTGAATCGTCTCTCGTGCTCTCACCGCACTATACACTACCCACCCACCTAATAGCGCGTCTTCTTCCTGGCCGCTCCTCCCTCCCTAGACCCACGATACCCGTCTTCTATTCTGTAATAGAGATACCCTTTGAGCTCCGTTGAGCTTCAACCACCTTCCTTTCCGCCAATTGCTCCCTCAGTCCCTCGCCATGCGTCCCGAGGTCGAGCAGGAGCTCTCGCACACGCTGCTCATTGAGCTGCTCGCATACCAGTTCGCCTCGCCCGTCAGGTGGATCGAGACGCAGGATGTCGTCCTCGGCGAGAAGTCGACGGAGCGCATCGTCGAGATCGGCCCCGCAGACACGCTCGGTGTCATGGCGAAGCGCACCCTCGCCAGCAAATACGAAGGACACGATGCGGCGCTGTCGCTGCAGCGTCAGATCCTGTGCTACAACAAGGATGCCAAGGACATCTACTACGACGTAGACCCAATAGAGGAGGAACCAGAGGCTCCCGCGGCGGCCTCATCAGCGCCCTCTTCTGCACCCGCCTCCTCAGCACCTGCCGCCGCCGCCGCAGCCCCTCCACCACCGAGTGCCGGGCCCGCAGCCCAGGTGCCAGATGCCCCCGTCACAGCCACCGACATTCTGCGGACACTGGTGGCCCAGAAGCTGAAGAAGCCGCTCATGGACATTCCGCTGAGCAAGGCCATCAAGGATTTAGTCGGAGGTCCGTCAATTGCACGTCTAGCGTAAAACTGTGACTAACAAGCTTCGCAGGCAAGTCCACGCTTCAGAACGAAATCCTCGGAGACCTGGGCAAGGAGTTTGGCTCAACTCCCGAAAAGCCCGAGGATACCCCTCTCGACGAGCTCGGTGCTTCGATGCAGGCTACCTTCAATGGTCAGCTTGGCAAGCAGTCCTCTTCGCTCATTGCCCGCATGGTGTCCGCCAAGATGCCTGGTGGCTTCAACATCACAGCCGTGCGAAAGCACCTCGAGACAAGATGGGGACTGGCCCAAGGGCGACAGGACGGAGTTTTGCTGCTCGCCATCACCAACGAGCCAGCAGCCCGTCTTGCCTCAGAAGCCGACGGCAAGGCCTTCCTCGATGAGCAAGCGAACAAATACGCGGGCATCGCTGGAATCAGCCTGTCTGCTCCTACAGCCGGCGGAGACGCTGGCGGTTCGGGTGGTGGCATGATGATGGACCCCGCGGCGATCGACGCGCTCACAAAGGACCAGCGCCAACTGTTCAAGCAGCAGCTTGAGCTTTTCGCGCGATACCTCAAGATCGATCTTCGTGCGGGCGACAAGTCGTTTGTCGACTCACAGAAGGCGCAATCCGCGCTCCAGGCCCAGCTTGACCTCTGGAACACGGAGCACGGCGAATTCTACGCGTCCGGCATTGAGCCCCAATTCACACCGCTCAAGGCGCGCGTCTACGACTCATCGTGGAATTGGGCGCGTCAGGATGCTCTCACTATGTACTACGATATTATCTTTGGCAAGCTGAAGGCTGTCGACCGTGAGATTGTCAGTCGCTGTATCGCCATCATGAACCGCTCGAACCCTCTCCTTCTCGACTTCATGCAGTATCACATGGACCACTGCCCTACTGAGCGCGGTGAGACATATGAGCTTGCTAAGGAGCTCGGTCAGCAGCTCATCGACAATTGCAAGGAGGTTCTGAACGAGGCTCCAGTCTACAAGGATGTCGCAGTACCCACAGCGCCACACCTAGAAATTGATGCCAAGGGCAACATGAACTACAAGGAAGCGCCAAGAGCGAGTGTTCGCAAGCTTGAGCACTACGTGCGCGAGATGGCTGAGGGCGGAAAGCTGTCCGAGTACGGCAACCGCACCAAGGTCCAGAACGACCTCCAAAGGATCTACAAGCTCATCAAGCAACAACACAAGCTCTCCAAGTCCTCGCAACTTCAGATCAAGAGCCTCTACAGCAATGTCATCCGTTCATTGTCAATGAACGAGGGGCAGATCATGCCCAGCGAGAACGGCAAGGCTGCTAGCGGCAAGAGGGGTCGCAACGGTCGCGTCAACCCTTCTGCTAAGCAGGGCAAGGTCGAGACCATTCCCTTCCTACATCTCAAGCGCAAGGATGACCATGGCTGGGAGTACAGCAAGAAGCTGACTGGCGTTTACCTGGACTGCCTAGAGGATGCCGCCAAGTCTGGTGTCACTTTCCAGGGCAAGTACGCTCTTATGACGGGCGCTGGTGCCGGCTCTATCGGCGCGCAAGTCCTTCAGGGTCTCATCAGTGGTGGTGCTAAGGTCGTCGTCACAACTTCCAGGTTCTCCCGGGAAGTCACCGAGTACTACCAGTCCATGTACTCGCGATACGGCGCCCGCGGCTCTCAGCTCATTGTTGTGCCTTTCAACCAGGGCAGCAACCAAGATGTTGAAGCTTTGGTCGATTACATCTTCGACACCAAGAAGGGCCTTGGATGGGATCTCGACCTCATCGTTCCTTTCGCTGCTATCCCGGAGAACGGCCGTGAAATTGACAGCATCGACTCCAAGTCTGAGCTCGCTCACCGCATCATGTTGACCAACCTGCTGCGCATGCTTGGAGCTGTCAAGAAGCAAAAGCAGGCCTACGGTTACGAGACCCGCCCAGCCCAAGTCATTTTGCCATTGTCGCCCAACCACGGAACCTTCGGCAACGATGGTCTCTACTCAGAATCCAAGATGTCGCTCGAGACACTCTTCTCGAGGTGGCACTCTGAAAGCTGGGGCAACTATCTCACCATCTGTGGTGCTGTCATCGGCTGGACTCGTGGCACTGGTTTGATGGGCGCCAACAACATCGTCGCTGAGGGTATTGAGAAGTATGGTGTCCGCACCTTCTCTCAGCAGGAGATGGCCTTCAACTTGCTTGGTCTGATGGCGCCACCGATCGTCAACCTCTGTCAGGTTGAGCCTGTATGGGCTGACCTAAACGGCGGCTTCCAGTACATTCCTAACCTGAAGGACTTGATGACCGACTTGCGCAAGGAACTCACAGAGACCAGCGACATCCGCCGCGCTGTCATCAAGGAGAATGCCATCGAGAACAAGGTTGTCAACGGTGAGGCCAGCGAGGCCCTGTACAAGAAGGCTACCATCGAACCACGAGCAAACATGAAGTTCGACTTCCCCACCCTACCTGATTGGGACACGGAGGTTAAGCCTCTCAACGATAACCTCAAGGGTATGGTCGACCTTGAGAAGGTTGTCGTCGTCACTGGTTTCTCTGAGGTCGGTCCTTGGGGTAACTCCAGGACACGCTGGGAGATGGAAGCGTACGGCGAATTCTCCATTGAGGGATGTGTCGAGATGGCTTGGATCATGGGTCTCATCAAGAACCACAACGGTCCTCTCAAGGGCAAGAGCTACTCCGGATGGGTTGACGCCAAGACCAACGAGCCAATCGATGACAAGGATGTCAAGCCCAAGTACGAGAAGTACATTCTCGAGCACGCCGGTATCCGCCTTATCGAGCCCGAGCTCTTCAATGGCTACGACCCCAAGAAGAAGCAGCTTATGCAAGAGATCCAGATTGAGGAGGATCTCGATCCATTCGAGGCTTCCAAGGAACTTGCGGAGGAGTTCAAGAAGGAGCATGGCGACAAGGTTGAGATCTTTGCGATCGAGGAGTCTAGCGAGTACACTGTCCGCATGAAGAAGGGAGCTACACTCCTCCTTCCCAAGGCTCTTCGCTTTGACCGTCTCGTAGCTGGTCAAATCCCGACTGGCTGGGATGCAAAGAAGTACGGTGTGCCCGACGACATCATCTCCCAAGTCGACCCTGTCACACTCTTCGTGCTTGTCTCCACGGCCGAGTGTCTGCTTGCCAGTGGTATCACCGACCCATACGAGTTCTACCAATATGTCCACTTGTCTCAAGTCGGTAACTGCGTCGGTTCCGGTATTGGTGGTACTACCGCCCTTCGAGGAATGTA